CGCCGGCTCCAGTTTATAGTACCATTTGACTGCCAACAGTCCCAGGCTACTTGGAAACATTCGACACATGAGGGCTTCATCATCAGTATGCAACATCATTGCTTGTTTGTAGTGACGAATATGATCTGTGGAGTCTGATTTTCCATCATACAGGGTGAATGTCAGTGCTTTGAACTTTTTAGGCAACACAGCTCTTGCAATGCATCGTACGAAAGGGTCGTGCTTGTCCTCTTCATCCGAACCATCACTTCCTTTCCCTCGCCTGTGCCGTACATACGGACTTCCTTCGGTCCAAGCATGTTTCTTGGAGTAATGTCATCTCTTGGTGTAACATCATCAACAATTATCGAAGGATCATCTGTCACGCTTGCCATGGACGCACTTGAGGATTCCCACAGACGGCGCCAATTGTGGTGAGGTGGTTTGGAAATACTCTTGGATCCAGTTAGACGCTCTTAATCCTCTGATTGCTAACTGAAAAAGGGATGAATACTCCGGTCGGGGGTGTCGGAATTAACACTCCGACAGACAAGTCAGTATTTTCTCAAATTTACTTCTATCTCAAGTTATCTTGTTTATTTTCACATCCCTCTTTTTGGCTGACATTCCTCCCTTTTTATATTACGTCTGGGCCCAAGGGTCGGGCCCACTCTTGACCTTGCATATAATTATTTAGTGGGTCTTCCAGTTTAGTCTTGGCTCCCGTTCGGCTCCTTATATGGCCGATTCGTATACTCGGCTTCATGGGCACCTGGTCAGGGCCAAATTGTCTTCGGCCTGATGTCTCAACCGGATGGCTTGGCCTTTCTTCCTCATTGATTCAATTCGGCCTTCACAGAATTAAATCATAAACCGTAAGATTCTAACAAAGCCGTTTTTGTATAATATATGAGAAAACTAATGCTTTACCAAAAGCCAGCAAATCTTATAACATGGTATAGGCAGAGGTGAACATCCCTGGAACACACAAACAATAATCTTGTGCACAAGAACTTCAGCTTTGATCTAGTAGAAAAGGCCACAGTTTAGTATTTGTGTTCTTTATGTTCTTGTACCTCATTTTCTTTTCACATTTCAATTGACAAGTTTCATGGTGGTAATTTTGCAGGGACTAGCAAAATCCTTCAATGAAAACCATTATCCAGATCGAGCTATGAAAGAAAAATTGGCAACAGAATTAGAAATTACAGTTAAACAGGTTAGCAAATGGTTTGCAAATGCACGTTGGAAATTTCACCATCCATTGCCTGCCAGGCAGAGATCTACGACCTCAGGAGTTCGCAAGAGAAAAAGTACGCCAGATGATCATCAAGGATCAGGTTAAATTCCAAGCGTTGAGAGGAGCAACTGAAACAGAAGTCTTCATCTTTCAGGTGAGTGCTTTGAACTTGTGTTCATATCCTCAGCTACAAAAAGATTCTTGGCCCCAACCAACACGGCATATGCCAAAACCAACATCTGCGTGATGTATCTCATCAAGAAATTTTCCCGAAACGCTAAAAGCATTTCCATAACCTTGTCCTCTTGTCCAACGATTCTGCCATGCATGCATTGTGCATATTTACTTTCATTATGACCTGAAATGTTGTGAAAAACCTTGTCCTCTGGTCCAACTGATTCTGCCATGCATGCGTTGTGCATATTTACCTTCATTGTGACCTGAAATGTTGTGAAACACATAAATTGTCTTGGAAACACAATGGACTCATTCGAACAAAATACCCATGGCTTCCATTTTTTATTTATTTATTATTGTTTTCTATTCTGTCTGGCACAATGACCATTTGCATGATATGATGTGAAGGTTGAGAGTAAGAACCTATGAGGAGGGTGGTGGTGGAAGAAGATTGTATGGATCTATATTTGATTTATAAATGATGATTATTTCCTTTTTTTTTTTTTTTTTTTTTTTTTTTTTGTATCCAAGGGCACTCCTTGAGAAGATGTTGCCTTAGGACATTTATATTGCTGTTTTTTGCGACCAGAAAATAGAAAACTGACAATGTTATGATACCCAAGTAATTGAGGATAGGATTCTCTGTGTTTGGATTATCAGATTTTAGTTTGTCTTGCAACAAACAGTAAATACCATTTTAGTTGTTGTAAATAGCCCCAAATAGCTATATTCTCTGTAGTAAGAGCTGGTGGTTTGTCCATAATTAACATGCTGTGCTCGAACACTTGTACATCACCATATTCAAAAATAATTCATTATATTAAACAAATCTTAGCACTATGATAACTTTTATTATCTTGTATCAGTTCCATGGCTATATGGTCTTCCTCGTGTTTAAGATGACTTTAATAATATGGATCATTTTTTAACAATACTCCTCTGGAGATTTACTTTCTGTTTGACAACTGCTACATTTTATTTTTTATTTTTTTGAGTTCAGTGAATTTTTTTTCTTTTTTTTTTTTTTTTTTTTGTGTCAAAATTTTTTTATATTTCAAGTTCGTCTAGTCTAGAAGGATTCAATAAGTAATTTTATTTTTTAATCTTCAGTGGAGTTTTTTTTTTCACTTTTCAGGTCCATTTATTAGTCTAATAAAACTTAAAAGTGAAAAGTTTTATTTTAAAATTTTTAATAAACATTCACTTAAGACGAAAAATAAAATTAAAATAGCAATTGTCAAACCGAATTTTAAATTGATGTGTGGTGCTACTTTTGTGCAAACGGGATTGACCTTCAGCTTTGGCTTATCTTTGCAGGATTTCGTTGTTGATGCTTGCGGTTGCTGGTAGAGGTCGTGCAATTAGTGCCTGCCTTTCTGTTTCAATTTCAGTTCATGATGGTTTGTTTCTATGTCTATTAGTTTATATGAAAGTGGAAACTCTATGTTCCCCACCTTTATTTCTGAAGTTTTTATTTATTCTCAAAAAATATTGATCAAGGATTGCAAGTTTAAAAGTTGAGCTTGTGTAACTGGTGCTTGCCTTTCTTTTTCAGTTTTAGCTTATGACAATCTTTATGTATGTTGGTTTATATGTAAGTGGAAACTCTATGTTCCCCACCTTTATTTATGAAGTTCTTATATATTATCAAAAAAATATTGTTTAAGGTTTGCAAGTTTAAATAATAAGGTTGTGTTGGCTTTTTCTCGGCCTTCGAAGGTTTTGAAAGCAATTTTGAGTGGGCTGGAAAGGATTGAATAATCCAAAATTAAAGCCAAACATTTATCAAGCAATTGTATTGATATTCTTTTTACCTTGGTTCTTTTTGCTTCTCAGCCCTCACTATATAAAGAGATCTGTGTACTGTTCATAGTACACAATTCAGTATACAATTCTCTGCTCTTTTATAGTCTAGCAATTAGACAACAATCAAGAACAAATTCTCAGCCAATGTACGGTTGTCTCTGCATGATCTGCACAGAAAACATACAAAAATCTAGTCTTTATCTTTTAACCATTTACATAAAAGAAAAGAAAAAACACAATATCAAACAGAATTCTAGAATTATAATATTTTAAAAAAAATTGAACAAGGTGCACAAAATATCACTTAATGTTATTGTTCTCGCATTTTTAGTAGTAAAATTGAATTAAGAGCTCATGCTTGAGATTGAATTAATTCCTCTACTTTTTTGTAGGTAAATATTTTATAGAAAGTATGATTAAATAAACAATCCAACCAAAAATAATCAATTCAAATTTTAGAGATTTTGATTTTCAAGTAGAATCTAGAATGATACAAAATTTGAAGTATATAAAAATATAATTAAAACTTCATAAATTTAATATCATAATAGTGAATTGGATTGGGTCGAAATTTGGTAGAGTGAAAATCATTTACTTTGCACCTTCCATTAATAAAACACAATTTTTTTTTTTTTGATTTTTGTATTAAACCCCAAAGTTAGTTGGATTTTGGTAACTTAAAATTAAAATAATCGGGAGTCCTCCACTAATAATAACAATTTATCTTTGTGTTTGGTGCTGAGGGGTAAACTTAGTTGGGATTTTGCAAGTTTGCAATTGGTCCTCCGTTTAATTGAAACCCAACAAAAAGATTTTTGTTCAATAAGTACAAAAATAATTTTTAGATTGAGCTATCTTTTAGTCCAATTTTGTGGATCAAAAGTGACCGTTTTACCGACTATTTCTCACGACCTCCTTTGATTCAATAACTTGAGTTCGAGCTTTAAGCTCAATCATTCGGATTTGTTTGGGAAGTGGATTAGCTTTTTAACTTTTTTGACTATCTTAGGTTGGGGCTCAAAAGCTTCGTTTATGAAGGACTTTTGGCTCTTTTGATTTTTCTGTGAAAGAAATAATGTAATGATTACAAATTAGATGTGATATTTTGTTTTATTAAGTTAAAAAGCTTATTTTGTTTTTTGTAACTATTTTAGTCAAAAAAGCTTGACTTTTGACTTCCCAAACGAAGCCTAAATGAGTTGAACTCAAACACTTTATCATTCCTTAAATAGGTTTACATTCAACTCTAACTCAACTCAACATAATCAACTCAATTTCTTTTAATCTCATAAATAAACAAAACATTAATTTCAAGAAAATTTATAGACCGATCTTATTGAAGAGACTTATTTAGCTATGAGTATTGCTCCCTTTATCATTATCAATACCCCTTAAAAATGTTGAGACAAAATAAACATTTGAAGACGTATTAATATATTAAAAAGTACCCATTAAAGCAGAAATTAAAAATCAGGTCAAACTTTCAAAAATAATTACATGAAAAAAATTATAAATTTAATAAGTAAAATTTATCATTAATCTGTAATTTTTTTCCATCTGTCCACTGATGTGCTATTTCCCTTACATTAAATCCATCACATAGGACCTTAATTTTTTTTTATTTTTTTTATTTTGATTAGTTTAAGTTGGAGTTGGAGTTGGCAATGGAAGCCCAATTAGAAAGGCCCACGCGTGTAGAAGGGCTCAACCCAGTTCATCAGACCAAGCCCAAAGAAGGGGCACAGAGAGGGAGAGAAGAGAGAAAACGAGAGAGAGAGAGAGAGAGAAAGTGCCGTAATATATTTTGAGAAGGTTACAGTGGTAGAAGACGGTGGTGGCCGGCGGTGCGATCGGGAATGGAGTTGGAAGTGGACGAGACCGAGCTCAAAGCCGCCGGAGCTCAGCTTCTTCCGGAAGGACGCGTTGGACTCTTCATACATGGTTGGGAGATCGAGTCTCGCAAGCGTCCCATTCTCAACTCTCTCCACCTCCAACAGTACAATCTCCTCTCTCTCTCTCTCTCTATACATATATATATGTACATGTATATATGCAAGCAAAGATTGTTGCTTTTTTTTTTGTATTTCGATTTTTATTTTTGGTAAACTACCAATATGGGTTTAATTCCCATCAACTCTTATTTAGCCTTTATCCTTTCTATGATCGGGCTCAGACTTGTCCGTTCAAGGCAGACTACAAATCCTTTCATCGTGAACTACTAAATCGACTCCTCTTGTTGGCGAACAAATAGCCTTTTTGCTTTCTGGGACCGGGCTAATTCTTTGTCAAGCACCAATTCAGAGAAAGAGGGACACCCATCCTCTATTATTCTAAAGAGGGAGACCTTATATAGGAGACTTGGATTTAATTCCCATCAACTCTTATTTTCAACAAGTGATAGTAAAATCATGGTTAAAAATAATTTTTTGTGATAATTTTTGCACATGTCACTAAAACTTCACAATTAGTGACTTTTTTATCACGATTTTTATAAATTGTCGCTAAAATTTACAATTGTGACGTTTTTCTGTGATAAATTTTTCAAACTATTGGTAAAAGTTGAAAATTAGCGATTTTTTTGTGATGATTTTTTTAAACTGTCTCTAAAACTTATAATTAAGGACATTTTTTGTGACAATTTTCAACTGTTGCTGAAAATTAACAATTAATAACGTTTGTTAATAGTGTTTGATTAAAAACGTCATTATCATAGGACCTATTGAACAATTAGTCCATAATAGACCTACACGTAAATCACCTTCTCTTTTGTTTTTGGGCGAAATACAATTACATGTCCATGAATCTGGAATCAATTGATCAGAAATTTATAGAGTACAATTTTGTTGATTTTAAGTGGAAATGTTGCTTTCGTAGCTTCTGTTAAACGCAGAGGATTACTTCGATTCAGAATAGCTAATAAAAGTAGCCAACAGTACTCCGATTTTTCTCTCTACATAGAGCAAATTTTACTCGTGGTTTGTGAATTAAAACGAATACTTTCAAATGATGAGAGTTATGTGCATAAAGTGAAAGGGTTTAGTTTAGAGAGGAAGAAGACGAGGGTATTTATGTCAATTTACAAAGGCCGTTAACAGAAGTTAGAAGTGTAAAAAATCCACAAACATTAATGCTACAATGACCCCATTTATATATCACATTTGGTTTACCATCTCAATTGTCGTATTTGTATCCAATCCAACCAATACAAATACGACAATTGAGATTGTAAACCAAATGTGGTGTATATATGCGGTCATTGTAGCATTACTCATCCACAAATTAAAAGGGTTAACTGGTTATTTTGTAATAACAGGGTGTTATGTGCATATGACCTATACTATTGGGGTAAAGTGAAATTTGCCCCTCTTTCTATTTGTTAAGTTGGTCTGCGGGGCATTATTTCATGCGGATGTAATAATTGTTGAGGTGCTGTAGTAGTCTTTTGTTAATCGTGTTGTTGGCTCTTTTTGTAAATAATCTAAGGTCCTAGATCAAGGAATAGGTTCTGGTTCTTGTCAAATGAAATTTTCTAACTGATGGATGCTGCATAATATTTTGGCATTTATTTGGTTCTATCTAAAATGATTTGGGTGCTTTGGATTGTTTTGGGTGTAATTTGGGCTATAATGAAATTCACAATAAACAAATAAAAAATAGATATGGTTAGCTAGTCGTTAGTGAACTATTTTTAATGATTCTACAATTGTGCTTATCATTTGGAACCCGCTCATGGTATGATGATAGTCAGTTCCCTCATGAATGGTTTAATAACTAGATTTGTGTTCCATTAGTTTGACGAATTTAAGCATACATGACTCCTTTTTTTTTATGTCATTTAAATTTTCCCGACTAATACTTACTATGCAATATGCCATTTGATACATAACTCCTTTTTTCTTTGTTTGTTTGTCTTTTTAATTTTCATCTCTTTTATCAAACTCATGTGCTGTCCTATACACTGGAATTGTTAGAGTGCACTAAGGCCTTAGTTTGTTTGCCATTTGAATTCTATATTTGCAGGTGGGAGCATAAGCTTCAAACATCTCACTTTCCAGAGATGGTTTTTGGGGACAGTTCTTTGGTTCTTAAACATGTCAGTAGTGGCATTAAGATTCATTTTAATACATTTGATGCTCTAACTGCCTGGAAGCAGGAAGCATTGCCACCAGTTGAAGTTCCTGCAGCTGCAAAATGGAAATTCAGAAGGTAAGCTGGGAACTGTTTATTCTTTCTTGTTAGCACCATATTTAAGCAAGTTAGTCATATGTACAACATGAATTTTGGAGTTCTGTTGAGTAATACTGAATCCAACTCTTGAGGAAGAGAATTAGGTCCAGAAACTTTATTTCCTTTGGAAACAAATTCATTCATTCAGAACTTTCATGCGGGATGCAATTTAATTACTGAGTTAGAAGAGAATTATGTCAGGAAGATGAAAAAGCATTGGAAAGTTATGTCAATGGTGGACCCTGTTTGTTCTTTTTTAAGAATGACTCATGAAGCTTCAAGTGTAAGAGGGAAACATTTAAATGGTAGAGAAGAATCTACTTGTGGCATTAATCCCATTGATGTTGGTACCTAGCCTTGGTAGACTGCCTCAGTGATATAGGCATCCATCTTAACATGCTACAAGCCAAAAAAGAAGGCTAGTTAATATTGATTTGATCGTATACTTGTCCCTGAATAAGGTTGCTTATGTGAAAGTCACTTCCATATGAAGGATCCATCCACAATGCATACCAGCTTCACAATTGGTGGTTGTTTTATTATATACCATATGAACATTGAGTAATTTCTAAGCAATTAGGACACAGACTCCGTTGAAAGGAGGAACATGTAATTTTAGGTAGCTGCTTTATGGTCATCCTGTAGATATTCTTCAAGGAGAGATGTAAAAAGGTTTTGATACATGGGTCTCAGGTTTATGGAGATTATACTTGGCGATGACAAGGTAGTAACGTGGCATGCTAGATTTGGACACATGTATCCATAGTAAGCTTTACGAACCAATGATTGCTTTGCTCAATAGGGGATTGTCACCTTCATGTCTTCGCTTCAAACCTTACATGGAAGCAATTACTCAATCATGGAAATTATCTCTCTGCGCCCTTCTTTTTCTTTCACTCCCTTAAATTTTTATTTTATTTTTTTATTTTTTTTATTTTTTTCCCCATTTGATCTTTCTTGTAGCCTGCAGGCATCAAGACCTTAGTTAGTATGTCACCTCAAGGTGACACCAAGTCCCCTTTTATCCTGGATGCTTTGTAATGGTTCCCATTAGTTGTACTAATCTAGATCTCTAAAATGAGTGTCAATTTGAACGTTTCATCCTTACAATGTATTTATTAATGTTGATCTGCCTTTGTTGTACTGTTTAAATTAGTGTTCTAATGAGTAGTAACTGAGAAAATTTTCTCTCTCTTCTTTTTCCCCTGTCCCCTTCATAACAATCTGCAGAAAGAATGTTATCCTGACTCTTTTTCTTTTTAAACGTATGTAGCCAACCCTTCCAGCAATTGGATTATGACTATACCTTTACAACACCATATTGTGGAAGTCAAACGATTGAGATAAATGAAGAGGTGTGTGCTCTCTCTTTCTCAAATTTGTTGTGCCATTTGGGTGATTGGCATATATTTCACTTTTATGTGTGATGACTATGAGTCATTGCATAACTACATTGTTTCATGGGGGTCCAGTTGCCATGTGCAATATCACGCCCCTTTGAGTAATGGAGTTAGTGAAAGGATGCTATTTATGCTTCTGACTGTGGCCTCTTATATTGCTGGTACTTAAATTGCATCGAATAATACTAGTATTGCTGTTTTTTACATGGTCAGCTTGCGAGACGAGCAACCTCTGAAGATAACAACTGTGGTCTTTATTGGGAGGACTGCAAAGAGCAAATTGATTTGGTTGCACTGGCATCGAAAGAGCCCATTCTCTTCTATGATGAGGTTGGCAAAACAGAAGATTACTAGAAGTGGATAGACATGCAAATCTGATATTCTCTTTCTTTGCCTGTTATATGTTTTGTCTGCCATGACTGAAGTTATCATTATACACCTCAACAGGTAATCTTGTATGAAGATGAATTGGCGGATAGTGGTGTTTCACTTTTAACTGTAAAAGTGGTAAATTTTCGACTCTCTCAGCTTTATGTAGCTAGAAAGGATACAATAAGATTCCTTCACAAGGTTAGGATGTCTGAGGACTCATCATATTTTTTATTTTGTAGAGGGTAATGCCAAACTCTTGGTTTCTTCTCTTGCGTTTTTGGGTGAGTTCATCGTTTTTACCTTATTAAGTTTCAACATAAAGCTTTGTACTCATTCTTTTTCTTTCTAAACTTTGGAATCCTACTGTATTACAAAGGAGAATGTCTACATATCTAAAACCAATGGATGTTTTAGGAACTGAAAGAGAAATGATGTTTTTTTTTACAGCTTAGAGTTGATGGGGTGCTTATGAGATTGAGGGCCACACGTATGCGTTGTGTTTTTGCAAATAGTGCAACCCCCATTATTCTTCGAGAAAGCTGTTGGAGGGAAGCCACATTTAAAGCTTTGTCTGCAGTAAGTTTACAATCTCTTTCTCGTATATGTGTGCAAGTCTATGCTTGTGTTTGCATATGCAAAGGTCTTATTTTCTCCGTGTACAATTATGATAATTATGGCTTTCTTGTTGCCAGTTGCCACCCTCTTAGATAGTTTTTCTTGTCTAATTTTTGTTTTGGGGGAGCTGAAGTGATGTTTGTGTCACTTTTAGACCTGCAAACAAGCCGATCTTTGTAAGGCTCGAGCTGATGTTTGTGTCACTTTTAGACTTGCAAACAAGCTGATCTTTGTAAGGCTTGAGCTTAGCTCGTTTGTTTATTGAGCTTTAAAATCCAGCTCAAGCTCGGCTCGAAAATTAATCTAGCTCAGCTTGGTTCTTTAATACTAATCAAGCTGGAGGTTGACTCGAAGCTTGATAATGAAAAAAAGTTTGGCTATTAGAAGCATGGACACACACATCTAAGAAGTTAATGTGTCGTGCCTGGCACCAACACCACACGATGCTCGTTGGACACTTTCCAACACTAGGACACACATAGAAAACATTACAAGCTTGAATAAAATAACTTGAAATTCAATGATAAAACAAAAACAATATAAATTTATATATATTCTCATTCTTTAGACTTTAAAAATTATTTTCTTTACTTAATTCATTCATATATATGATATAATAATTATTTATTTTTTATATGACATACAATACATATATAATTATATATTTTGCATGTGTCTCCGCGTATTGTGTCTTACATTTTTTGAAAATTTCCGTGCTGCCATTTTCATGTCCGTGCTTCTTGGGTTTGGATATTATTTACATTTTTATATTACTTAATATATAAATAATAATTGAGCGGAGCTTATTCAAGCTTGAGCAATAAACGAGCCTAAAATTTTGGCTTGAGCTCATTTATTTACTTAATGGACTGAGCCGAGATTGCAAAGAGCTCTGTTCATTTGCAGCGCTGACTTTCTTACCTAATGGGGTTACCATCCAAATTCTATTTATGGTTTAGTTGAGGGTTCTGACAGTTTATAGTGACATGACAACCCTCTTTCTTATTTTATATCTTATGGAGGAGGAACAGTGCTGGAAATTTGTGTTAATGCATATAATAAGATAGTGGCATATGATAGTGGTGTTGGTGGTAGATAGTGGCATGTATAGAATATGATAGTGGTGTTGGTGGTAGATAGTGGCATGTATAGAATATGATAGTGGTGTTGGTGGTAGATAGTGGCATGTATATAATATGATAGTGGTAGATAGTGGTAATATATAATATGTAAGTGGCATATAATGGGTTATAATGATGTTTGTAATATCTCCTATATAAGGAGTGTCATTTGGTCTTGTAAAATAAGAAGTTTTGAATATAACAGAAATATATTCCTTCTTCCTCATATTTTCGGAGTTCTTCTTCCTCATATTTTCTAAGTAACAGCATTGCCTATTCTGCTTGACATGGAAGGGTTTTAATTCTGTCCGTCCTCCACTTCTTTGAAATTATGGCATTTCATCCACAGCTACTCTAACAAATCCATCTTAGGTGGCACTATAGTAGCCTGAATGAATTCTTGACAGAGTTTCTCATGTTTTTGTAGCGCAGCAAACTCATATCAACTACTTGCCTTCTTACCTTTGAACTTCTAGCCTCTATAAAGTGTTGAGCCTCATGATTTTTTATGGCATATTGCTTTAAATTGTCATCCACATGTTTTGTTTTGTTTTTTTTTTTTTCGTTTCTCAATTACCAACTCATCTATTGATGGAAAATTGAGCAGCTTTGCTTTCTTTATCTTTTAACTGCTAATTTTTATCAGCTTAAATGCATTGACTTGTTTTATTAATTGATACAGAAAGGATACCCATCTGATTCTGCAGCATATAATGATCCAAGCATCATCAGCCAGAGGCTTCCCATCATCATGCATAAGTCCCAAAAGCTTAAAATCCCTGGTAACCTATAAGCTTGTAATTAATCGTTCAGATTACTGTGACACAAAACTGTACTGAATCTTGTGCAAAAGACGCAAATCATTCCCATTTAACAGTTATAATCTCCTTTGTGGTAAACACATCCATGTCTACATTCTCATTTTCATCATCTGTGTTTGATTGGTGGTGAGCTATTCTATTGAATAACATTTAGAGAATTGAAGAACAATTTTATGCTGCGTGAACACATTTTAGTACATATAGGCATGTTTGTGTGATTGTTGCTAGAATGAAGGTGTGGAAGCAGAAGCAAGGGCTGGGAGCCTTGAAGCTTTCAGACAAATGGGCTGTGGCTAGGGTGCAATAGATAAGGAAATGAGAAAAACAAAGCGGGCACATTGGCAGTGTTTGTAATAATTATCTGGGACCTTACTTATCAAAACTAAATAAATAAATATAGAAACTTGAAAGAATTATGAATTTGTAATTTGCACAAATAAAGACATACCATATATTTACCTTTACATATGGTAACATCATATAAAAATTAAACATGGCAGGGTCAACTCACATTTTATTCTTAAAATCTTAACTTTTGTAGGAATTACGTCTTGCAAAACTCAACGCTGGATTTCATGCTCCTTAAGTGACCTTCGAGCTTGCTGAATTTCAGATCAATCAGAAATTAAGAGCTATCTCTTCTATAATTGCATTCTAGAGAAGAATATGATCATGTTGATGAGAAAGCTCTTGATGTCCAATTGACGTTCAATCTTAGCTTGAAAGTTATTTTGAGGAGCATGAAGACCAACAGTTGCTACAAGAAGTTTTGAATTGGTGTAAGAATAAAGTTTGTTACACCAGGGTTAAATGGGTCCTGCCCCTAGTTAAATTGTGATATTATTAATCATATTTGGGGAATTTTATCTTATGGATGGTGAGAGTAAACTGCAGTCATATAACTGTAGTGGAATGGATGAAGTGGAGAATCTTTTTGGAGCGATGTGTGACGTTTGTTACACGAGGGGAAAACTTTATTGTATCACTATTAGGCTAAAATTCTTTATGGTACATGAAGCTTGGCAATGAATTCAAGCATTTTAGAAGCTGGGCCAGGGTTACTGAAGAAACAGTAATACCCTAGGGATCTTAATTCTTGAACACGTGTTTTGGAACATGGTACAGCTTTCTTCCAATAAATTATGCAGCGATCCAAAAAAAAAAATTCTATTTCTTTCCTGAATTTTGTTCCTTTTTTAGAAGACATATATTAAAAAGATTGAATTTTGTGGGAAAAGATTGAGGAGAAAAGCTACAGCACATCAAACACTGAAGTAAACTGGATAAGTCAATGTAGAAACTGCAACTGGGATCTTTGGAAGCTAGAGTACTTTACATAATCCTTACAATATTGTCTCACATGAAGAAATGTAAAATAAATTGATAGAGATAGAATATTGTATTATTGATTTATATGTTGATTTTTATTACAATGATTCATGATTCCTATATATAGAAGAGGGTGAGTGTGTAGTAGGTAAGGAGTAGGTGAAGTGGAGGTGGTAGTGGTGTAGTGGGTTAGGTTTAGTGGAGTAGGTGAGGTGGTAGTGGTGTAGTGGGTTAGGTTTAGTGGAGTAGGTTTAAGTGGGTGAAGTAGGTGATAGGTTTTAACAAGAAATGTGTTTTAAAAAAGTGTTGTAGTTGCTCCTTTTAGAAGTCATTAGCAGCCTATTGTCTGAAACTTATCATGTATGTTTGAAACAATTTGGAGTTTTTGGGTATTGTAATGCATCCTTATCAGCATTTCTCAATAACCCTACGTCTGCTACTAAACTAACACATAAATGCTTTTTTCTTCTTTAGCAATATGTGGTCTCCTCAAATTAGTAGATGATGCTATCTCTTAAGCTTTTGCCTCATTCTCCGAGGTATTATTACTCTAATTGCTAGCTAAATTATTGATAAAGTACAACAGGAATGAAAATTGAAGGCCATTGTAAGGATCAAGAACCTTTGAATTTGGTGACAGGTATATTATAGTGCACAGGGATTACTTTGAGAAACTACAGATGAAAATAACTGGTTGTTAGAATGCATTTGCAGGAAGAACATTAAATTCTTCATTGCCGCTTCTAGTCTTATTTGGAAGAACCACCTTCTAAGATCTTGACTCTTTGAAGTTGTGCTCTTAACTCCTCCTAAGTTAATTGATGTTGTTGATGGAAGCATAAATCAAAAACTATTGAAGATGGATGAACATATTAGAGCCGGAGATTCAAGTCAAGCTTGAGGTTGTCCAATGGCTGCTCTGGTAGTAGCTGTGGATCCAAATGAAAGCTTCCAGGCCACATCAAGTTCATTTCCTCCTCCATTGTGTGCGGCTCCCATGGACTCACAAACCTGGTATGAGTCTCATTAAACCTTCCCACGATTGTTGTTCCTGTGCCTCTACTTGGTTTGTGCACCAGTGAGTGAGGCCGGACACCAAGTGATCGGGCCATATGAGCATTGGCTGGGAAACCCATCATTGTCATCATGGTCTGACTCCGATATTGCCATAAGGGTGTATTTTAAAATGATAAATAAAAGAAAGTTGAAGACAACATGATACCGGTGTGTATGGATGTGATAATGAGAGTCCCTCTTGTGGGCATTCTGGTGACCTCCTAATGCTTGTGAACTGAAAAACTTCCTCATGCAGAAGTTACACGAAAAGACCTTGGCAGAAACAGGTCTTGATTGTGAGTTGGAGTCTCCGGGCGGTGTGTTTAGATTCCTTCCCAGGCTCAAATTCAGCCCATCTAGGGTTCCTTGGTCGTTGTTATCACTTGTTTTCATTCTGCTGTAACTTTGGGGTTTCACTGCCTTTAGGAAGGTGAATAAATAGGAGAGGCTTTGTGGAATGAATCAAGATCCTCTCCTTAACTTCTCTCCTTGACTTTTTACTTGCTGGGCTGTTGGGCCCACTTTTAGGTTCAATTTCGATGATCCGAACCGTTAACATTTTAAGATTTATTGAGTATATCATACCTGTAAAAAACCAAATTGATCATATATCAGAAAGCATGTATTTGGCAAACTGTTTATTAAATTTTTTAAAAAAAAAGTTTTTTGTTTGATGAACTGAATATAATTTCTGATATCTGATCAACTTGATTTTTTTATAAATATGATATATTGGACAAATCTAAACGATTCGGATAATCAAAATTGGACCTAAAAGTGAGCCCAATAACCTAACAAAGTAGAGAGTCAAGAGAGAAGTCAACATGAGAATCCAGATTCTTGTGGAATAGCTGTGACCGACGCTTAAATGGAGTCCAGATCAAAGATGAGGATGGATTTTCTTTCAAGTTTTTGTCACCTAAGTGATGCTTGGCCTTCCAGGAGACAAGGATGTCGTCATTGTTTACTGTTCCCATGCCAATCTTAGGATTCCCCACTTCCCATGTCTCTCATTTTCTGTCTCTAACCGACTTTACATGGTTCTCTTTCAAGTAACTAAAAGCATAAAAGTGAAAGGTTGACATTGAACAATAAGGGTGGTTTGGGATGATTTAATAAGTGTATTTTTTTATTTTTTATGAAATATGGGTTGGGTATGGGGTTGGGTTTGAAGTGATATATTAGAGAGGTGATGTGACTTAAATAAGATGATGTGACTTAAATAGGAGAATGAATTTTTAATTTTTTAATTTTTTGATTTTTTTAAATTATGCCAAACAAGGCCGGCAATAGTCTGTGGAAAAGGCTAGGGAGTTATTCAAAAATATAGTGTACCACAGATTTGAACTTAGTATGATAGTGGATTATATTAAGAATGAATCTTATCCATATATTTTATTTTGTGAATCCAGAAGGTTGGATTGAAACGATTGATACCCTTCCTATCCAAAATCTTGGTGTTGGCATGTAATATGAACTCTTCAAAAGTTGCATCATATGCTCCTCGGGTGTTTTGAAAAGATGGTTAAAAGTTATTCTTTGATTTTTTTTTTATTTTTTTGTGAGGGAGGAAAGTAGGTTAAAAGCTGGGAAGTGGGTTAAAAGCTATCCCAAAATGAGAGTTGTTTTGGGAATTAGCTATTTTAGTGGATTTTTTTATTTTTTACAAAAAAAAAAACGCACAAAAAAATAGAGAACATAAATGACTTTTTTGCAGTGACTTTTTAACTATTTTAACCTATTGCCAAAATAGTCTTTAATATGTGATTGTTATATATATTACGTTATCAAAAGTTGATTACGACTCAATTCTCGTTTGGTAAATATTTTGAGGCTAAAAAGCACTAAAAGACAAAATATGCTATATAAACCAATAAAATAAAATGTCACATTCAAATCATAATCATTACACTTTTTCTCTTACAAAAGTCAAAAAAATTCAAAAATAAAAACCAAACAAAACTAAAAAAGTCGGATTAAAAAAGTCTCAACTCAAAAAAATGAGCTATCGTAACCAGTGCCAAATGAAGCTTCACTATGGTAATCAGTTATATGATCTTTTGAGCATCACAAGTCAAGTCTCAGATCAGACGAGTTTGGTCTGATATATTTCACTTGATATCACTGTAATTAGTAAACTCTGTCATGTCGCTACAAGAAAATACACTTTTGGCGACTAAAGTTTTAGTCGTCAAAAGTAAGGTTTTTAGTCGCCGAAGCCTTTTCCCGACTAAATATTTTGGTTGCTAGATTTGTCGCGGGAAAACGGTTGGGAAAAATTTTGGCGTCTAAAAAAAATTTAGTCACCAAAAGTCCTATAAATGGCTATTAATGTTTTAGTAGGGAAAAGTACAAGGTATTGGCAACTAAATATTTTTTAGTAGCCAAAAGTCATAAATTGGCGACTAAATATTTAGCCGCCAAAAGTTTTCAAATAAAATTAATTTTCATTTTCAGCGACTAAAACTTTTAGTCGCCCAAAGTATCATTTATTATTAGCTACTAAATATTTAGTCGCCAAAAACAAATTAATTTTCATATTTTTTTTTAGCTACTAAACTATTTAGTCGCCTAAAGTCTCATATATTTTTGACTACTAAATTTTTAATCGCCAAAAAATCTTTGGTTTGTTTTTGGCTACTAAATTTTTAGTAGCCTACAAGTTTTATTTTGTTTTTTTGACTATTAAACATTTAGTCACCAAAAACTTTATTTAGTGTTATTTTTTTTTTTATTATTATTAATTTCTGCATAATCTGTATTTATTTCGTATAACCTGCACCCTGTATATAAACAAAACAATACATATGCCTATTTCTATTTCACTTTTAACCATCCAAAAATTTGGTCTTGTAACATCAAATTCTATACAAACCAGATATAATCCAATCCAAAATAATAATTCCATACAAACAGATAATCATACAAAAATGATGTCCTTCGTATACAAAAAAGAAATATCCTCTAGTAATCTATACCACCAGAAAATAACTTCATCTCTATTGAATCAACAATTGTTGCAGTAATTGGTAGTGGAAAAGTTCGAGTTTGTAAAAGTCTTCCAGTAACAAGGTCTCATACCTACAATACGAAAATAAGTCATTAGATACTTCACCCATCGAAATCTACAACTTTTCCCAGACCTTAACAAACCTGAAAAATGAGAAAAAGAAAGAAAGGACGTGTTAAGTGTAAGACAAACAAATGCACCAAGCATTTGAAACAAAAAACTTGGACGAAGGGTTTCAGTCGTGGTTTTTTAAATCATTAATCGTACCAAACAATTTTTTAGCAATCGAATAAACAATATTGACTATGAATTAACTATGAACTCATAGGTATCAGAAATGTCTAATAGGCATTTAATTTTCATTCTAACTAGTATATCAAAAGTATTAGTGACGAAAGAATAAAAATTCAATAAAATTTTGTTCACTATTTGGCCACTTTCATGCCCACCCAATAATAGGAGATGCAACATGTTTCTAATTTTCAAGAAAAATCGAGATAAAGTGACGACATGACAACATGCTTTTAGACAATATGCGGCATCACGTTGGAATTTGCCATCCCGCCATTGGTACTGTTTGATGTAGATGATAGAGCTACTTGTCATTTTATTTTCTTTTTTTCATTTCTAAAAATTTGTATCAAGAGTGTTTTGTATAGTTTTTGTTTACAATTTATAAAGCAGAAATATCGGTGGGCAAAAAATTCAATTTAACAAGTGGCCAAATCCTAAACCCTAAACCAATGATCCAATTGTTTCCTGAAATCAACTTTTGATAGGAAAACCCTCCAGATTCATGGCACTTAAAAGTGTCTAACCAGTGTAACATATCAAAGATGCAATCGCAAGACGGATTCCATGTTCCTTGGGCAGGCACCCCCTACTTTTAGTGGATTGCACAAATTCTACGTGGTTTGTATCTACTGAAATTCTTTGCTGACCTAGAGTTATTATGAATCAATATAAATGTCCAAACAGTGTAAAACTCTTGGCTGCATGATAACTCGAATCCCTAGATACAAATTTATTTTCTCAAATTTCTCCATAAATGAAACATAGAATAGATTTCTAAAAGTGCCAGAGCACATGCTCAAATCACACTTGATAAATGACATATGCATAATGTCACTAGTCAAAACAAATTGCATGCAATATGAGCTTAACCTCTTCCCATGATTTCCCAGTAGCTTCAAGCAAAGCAGCATTGCAAGTCTTCAGCTCTATGGAGGTGCCTGAGAACACTGAGGCTGCCTCCTCCCATCCTCTGTTATGTCCCATACACCTGTACATTTAACTTTCTGTCAAAATTCTTAATGAACATTTTTATATATTCCTATATAAATTATGTGAGAAAAAAAAACTAATAAGACAGAGATAAGAAAAAACAAAGGAAAAAACAAGTGAGAATAAGTATCTACACCTGTATAGTCCTACTTGCTTCCTGCACAAGTACATTCTAAAACTAAATAAATTAGATTGTTATTGAAAAGACATCTATTGTCAAGACATGACAAGGCTCATCAAAGGTCCCATGGAGATGATAGTTGCTATTGAAAAAAATGAAACCATATATGGAAATGTCAATTTAAATAAAAATTTAAAATCACAGCTAAGTAGACTAATTACAAAAACTATACAAGTTCAGTGAATTCATTTGACATACTATGTAAAACACACCAAGAGTTTCTTTTCCATTTGCCATCAAGATGCACCCTTAATACACACAAATACCTCACCTATTAAATGGAACTCCAAACAAGCTGTTACAGTCAGCAGAACTCACATAACTGTAAGTATCTCGTCCCTTGAAAATTTGCAGATGGCATGTTGAAGGTGCTCAGCTGTCTGTCCATTCATTGCTGCAATTGAATAAAAGCTTGAAATGAAATGTACCTCAGCTTCCAAAAATCCTCTCACTTGTTCTTGCATAGTTTTAAGTGTTTCCTTTGTTCGCACTGCATCACTACACCAAGACACCAGTAGAGAATTTTCGATCCAATGATGAACTATTCACTCATTGTACACAAGTCAATCTAACCTTATGGGGTCATCTGTACTGTGCAAGTATTTCTAGAGAATCCTAACCTGGACAAAATAAGCTCAGGAATCCAACCCAACTGCTGGAGCTTGTGTGAAACTTCAATAGCATCAGCTTGTCCCGCTTTACTCAAAGGGCGATCATGATCTTTGCAAGATAAAGAAGGAAGCAGGTATCAAGAAGCCTGACATGATTTTGGTTATCAAAACAATAAAAAGAAAAATGCATGAAATGAGTTTACCTCTAAGCATTTTTGCTCACCTTTTTATTTTATTTTTATTTTAATTTATTTTAATTTATCAGAAACAAGCCAAATCCTAAACCCTAAACCAATTTTCATTTCTGAAAATTCAAACACTTGGTGACCATGTTCCAATTGTTTCTGATAAATTTGTCACTTGAGCATAGAATCAAACACTTGGTGGGCAAAAAATTTAACAATCCACATATCAAACAAACAAACACCTAAACCAATGATCCAAATTCAGAGTTTATCATCACTACTCATTTCAGAGTTTGTCCACACAATCCACATATCAAACACATTCAATACACAATAAAAACAAACAGAGAAAGTTAAAAATCGAAATGGGTACTCACTAGAACAGCCTTATGGGCAGAGACGGGAATGGGTTTAGACGCAGGTTTACCGGAATCGTCATCGGAAGCGACTAAAACGATGTCGGAGAAGCAAGGAGTAGAGCGATGGTGGTAATCATTGAAGGGAGTCCAAAATCTGAGGAAGGAGACTTTGGAGTTGAGATCTTCGATCTTGGCTCGGAGTTGTTCTGGATCTTGGCTCCGAATCGGTGTTCACGAACTCATCATGGATCTCAGGTGACGGTGACCAAAAGGAGTAGGAATCGATGCTCAGGTTCCTAGCGACCGCGAGGGAAGGGAGAGGAGCACCGGAGAGATAGAGAGACGCTGAAGAGAGAGACAGACAGAGGCGCTGGTAAAATTTTGGAAACCAAATATATATATATATTACACCATTAGCGACTAAATTTTTTAGTCGCCAATTACTTTTATAAATCCCTCAAACTTAAATTTGAAATGTCTCCCTCCAATTTTTTATTTTTTGGCGACTAAACTAATTTTTGGTCGTTGAAAATATGTTTTGGCGACTAAACTTTTGGTCACGAAAGATGGGTTTTTTTTTTTTTTTTTTTTAATTTTACATTTGGCGACTAAATATTTTAGTAGACAGTACCTAATATACGGCGACTAAACTAATTTTTGGTCGCTGAAAATATTTTAGTAGCCAATACCTAATATACAGCGATGATTTAGCAGATGCCTTCTCATAACAAGCCATTTTTATGTTTGCATGGCACTCTTACTTCTAATTCAATATTATTTTTGGTTCTGATGGTGTTTGTTAGTACTTTTGGAGTGGCAGATACTTATACCTCTATCTTCTTGTGCCAGATATTCTGTGCAAAATGTGGGTCTAGAGATTCGCCAGCTGATAATGATATCATACTCTGTGACGGTGCTTGTGAACGTGGTTTTCACCAATTTTGTCTGGAACCACCATTGTTAAAAGAAGCCAGTATGTCCAAACTACTCACTTGATAGGACTAACCTTGATTTTTTGTTTCTCGACTTCCTTATTTTCTGTTCAGTTTTATGTCCATCTTTTTTTCTTTTTTTGTTGGTCCTAATTATATCTCCTCCACTTTATAGTTCCTCCTGGTGATGAGGGTTGGCTTTGCCCTGGATGTGATTGTAAGGTCGACTGCATCAACTTGCTTAATGATTTTCAAGGAACTAATGTTTCTATTCTGGACACCTGGGAGGTCAATTAAAAATTCTGGTCTGTACTATTGTCCCAGATTAATGGGTCTACTTATATGTTGCTTATTATGCTCTTCTCCATTCACAGAAGGTGTTCCCTGAGGTGGCAGTTGTAAATAAGCGATTTGATCGTGTTGGACTTGGATTTATGTCCGATGATTCTGAGGACAATGATTATGACCCAGATGCTTCAGAGTTGGATGAGAAAGTTGAGGGAGATGAATCAAGTTCTGACGAATCTGATTTCTATTCTGCTTCCGAAGACTTTGGGCCTTCACCAAATAACAAGCAGAACTTGGAGCATTCTTCTGATGATTCAGAGGATGATGATTATGATCCTACTGCTCTAGATCTCGATGAGCAGGTTAAGCAGGAAACTTCAAGTTCTGATTTTACGTCTGACTCTGAGGATTTTAGTGTTGCATTTGAAGACGAACTCATGTCTGCATTATCAGACCATACTGAGCCCTTCGGAGGCTCTGATGGAGAAAGATCTAAAGTTATTCGGAGGAAAAAACAATCTTTAAATACTGAGCTGTTATCTCTAATGGAGTCTAGTCCCAGCCAAGGGGATTCTGCACCTGTAACTGGAAAAAGACATGTAGAAAGGTTGGACTACGAAAAGCTATATGATGTGAGTTCCCTTCGTAACATTAGTCTCAAATCATGATCTCCCCTGCATCATGTTTACCTGCTGCATTTTGAATTGATGGAATCATGCATGATACTATGTATATTGAATTAGTTTACTTTAAAATGTAGGCTTAATTAATTTATTCTTTTTAATTGGTTTGTGTTCCTGCATTTGGTATTTTACCTAGCTGTCATTAGCATGTTATACACTGAGATTTTCGAACATGTTAACCATTGTGACATGATAGACTGTGTAATGGCTTCACGTGGGGGTTTTTTTTTTTTTTTGTTGAATGATGTTGTCAGTCAAACCAACTTATCCCTATTAAATAAATCAACTACTGGAAACACTGCAGTGTTGTACTATTATTATTATTTTTTTTTGGTAGGTAAGTCACAAGTTATATACCAAAAAATAGATATTACAATGAGGCTCAATACACGCCCAGACGCAACACACCCTTCGAGGAGGGAATAAACAAGCCTAGCTTCTACACAAAATCTAACAAGTAGATTAACATTCAAGGAGAAATCAAAGCTAGGCTAAGCAATAATCAACGGACACACCTACGATTTCATAGAGTCTTACAACTTGATTTTTTAGACTTGATAGAGAGGCCTAACCTCTTGAGCAAGTTTAAGATTGGCGATTCTCTCAAGAAGCTTTTTCTTGTTTTCCACTTTTGACGATAGGTTTGTCCAGGGAACGACGAATGTTCCATCTAAAAGGGATCGAGGAGCTCCTTTGGGACGTGAAGATCGTTTAGAGGCTAACCCATTTATATTACCCACATCCCCGACAATTTCTTTCTCTTCCTTTGAAGCCTCTACATTTGGAATATCTTCATTCGCATTAAGCACACTCTTAAGATCCACACAAAAAGAAACCTCCTCATTGGCTACACAAGTATTGAGAATATCAAACGCATTCGATGAAGATGGAGTGTAGGAACAAAGTTAACAATTGCATTTCATCTGTACTTGCTTTCAGCAATTGAGGGTTCCTCAGTGGTGGGGGGGACGGGAAGGGGAAGGAGGGTAAGTGTGAAGCTCATGTTTTCATAGTAGTCTTTATGTTGGCTTCATATAGTTCGTTCTTATTGCTTAATGATTAACATTGCAGTCTTGGAGTTCTAAGTAGCCTGCAGGGACTAATATGTCTCTGTGCTATTTCATATCTGCTTTTCAGTGTTCTTCCTTAGGGCATAGGCCTCATGGCTCTTGCATTAGGACTGCTTAAGATGCTTTGGGTCATTACTCATTACTATTGTAAATATTTGATGAATTTCTTTGAATGTTTATGAATGATCGTCTCGGTTCCTAGTCTATATGCAGTCTTTGTTGATGCATGTTCCTTTACGCTTATGCCATCACTTGATCACTGTATAACCAGGCATTTACCCTCACTTCCCGTTCCCTTGTATTTTTGTCCTCATTTTTTTGGGTCTTCTAGTGCACTTGCATCTTGACTCTATTACTTTATCTTTCGTCTCTTATTTTTGTTTATGCTGCCCTGATATGTAAAGGAGGCATATGGAAATGATTCATGTGATTCAAGTGATGAAGATTGGATTGACGCTGGTGACATACCAAATAAGCGAAGGAAGAACAATACCAAGAAAGTTGCTTCAGCATTTCCCAGTGGAAGGACTCCAATTATAGAGGGGACAAATGCTAAGGATATGCAGCACAACCAGGAACAGAGTGAACATACCCCTACGAGAAGAGCGCTTAAGAATCTAGATGTTGAGGGCACATATAATGCTGGTGACATACCAAAGAAGCAAAGGAAGAACAATACCAAGAAAGTTGCTTCAGCATTTCCCAGTGGAAGGACTCCAATTATAGAGGGGACAAATGCTAAGGATATGCAGCACAACCAGGAACAGAGTGAACATACCCCTACGAGAAGAGCGCTTAAGAAGCTAGATGTTGAGGGCACATATAATTCACCTGCTAAATCACATAAAGGTTTCTCTGAATGTGGTTCTAGAGATAGTACCACTAAAAGATCATGTAGAAGACCTGGAGAAGCTGTAACTCAGGTATCGTGTGGTTGTCAATTAATTTTACTACTGAATCTAGATGGTAGTCTGTATATAGAATCAACATTTTCCTATCCACTCAACTGTAAATTGGGTTATTTTGTGACTACTATTTCAATTTCTACAAATAATATTTATGTAACATCTGAGAAAAACTAATGCTTCATCACGAGCCAGCAAATCTTATTAGGCTGCGGTGAACATCCTGGAATATTAGCAATGACCTTGTGCACAAGAACTTCAGCTTTGATCTAGTAGCAAAAAGCTACATTGTTAGTGTTGACGTGCTCTTTATGCCCCTGTGGCATCTTACCTCTTATTCTTTTCACATTTAAATCAACAATTGTCATGGTACTTGTTTTGCAGGGACTCATAAAATCCTTCAACGAAAATCATTATCCTGATCAATCTATGAAAGAAAAATTGGCTATGGAATTAGGAGTTACGGTTCATCAGGTTAGCAAATGGTTTGAAAATGCACGTTGGAAATTTTACCATCCATCACCTCAAACAAATATTTCAGAGCCCGGACCAAAAATGGTGACAGAAAACATTTCGTGCAATGGATTGAGCATGGGCAATTCATTGACTGAAGAAAGTAGCGGGCAGAGATCTACGACCCCAGGGGGTCACAAGAGAAAAAGTCAGTCATATGATCACCAAGGATCAGAGTAAATTTTGAGTATTGAGGAGACATGTAAGCTGAGTGGACCAGTTGATTTACCAAAAGCTCAACAAGCTCAAAAAAAGTGGCAGACATAACACAGAAATATGGAGATCACTTTCCATCAGTTACTTCTTGGAAGAAAGGAGCAACTGAAACAGAAGTCTTCCTCTTTCAGGTCAGTTCTTTGAAATTGTGCTCATATCCTCAGTTAGACTCAGAAACATTTTTTACACAAAGATCTTTGTCCCCAACTAACACTGCACATGCCAAAACCAACATCTGGGTGTTGTATCTCATTGAGAAAGGTTCCCCAAACACTAGAAAGTGTTTCCATAACCTTGTCCTCTTATCCAACTGATTCTTCCAAGCATGGATCGTGCATATTTACCTTCATTGTGACCTGAAACACATAATTGTCTTGGAAACGCAATGGACTCATTTAAACAAAATACCCATGGCTTCCAATTTTTTAATTATTTATTGTTTTCTAGGGTTCAAATTTTGTCTGGCACAATGGCCACGGGGCTAAATAACCTTTACATGACTTGATGTGAAGGTTGAGAGTTAGAAGCTATGAGGGTGGTGGTGGAAGAACATTGTATGGAGCTATATTGGATTTATAAGTGATGATTGATTATTTTTTGGCTACATGTGTGCCTGTATTTTATATTTATTATTTGTGAAATACGTGAATGGAGTATACCAATTAAATGAAAATGTTCTATTGGTGGAATTTATTGTAATACTCAGTAAGTTCTTTTAGAAAAATTTGATAAATAAAAAAATAACAATAGGATCCATTTGGTGTATTTTATGGGTTTGTTTATGGCTTTTTATTTTTTTGGAATGTCTTAAAGTGTTTTGTATAGTTTATGAGGTAAAAATAACTTAAATACGATGAAAAATTAATTATTAGGGCCTTGTTTGGTAGCACTTCCGTCTCCTTTTTTGTTTTCAGTTTTTTCTTTTTTCTTTTTTTGAAACTGGAAACAAAAACTTGTTTTGTATATTGTTTTTGTTTTAAAAAAAGTAAAATTCTTTCTAAATTTTTTATTTTATTTTTTTAAATAAAGAAAGTGTTTTTACTTGTTTTCAAGCAAGTTTTCATTCTCTTCTCCCTCTTCCGCCACCACCTCACACACGACCTTCAGCACCGTGGATTGCTAGTCGGCCGACTATCAACTACCTCTGACGAACAACCAGCAAGCTCTAACACCTTCCGGCAATTGGCAAGCTCCTACAATCTTTGGCCACCTTCCAACAAATGACTAGTCACACTGCCAATGACCTCTGCTCTGCACAATACTCTAGCGACTGCCTTCGGCCACCCCATTGCTGATAGCCAAATCCACCAGCCATCTCCAGCAACTCACCAAACATTTTTCTTTATGTTTGTTTCCATTTATTTTATGAACATTTTTGTATACCAAACAAGTTTTATTTTTACTTTTACAAAAAGAAAAACAAATACTAACGTGTCGTTTGTTAAATCTTTCGTTTTCATTTTTTTGAAAATTGAAAACGAAAACTTGTTTGGTATATTTTTCGTTTCAAAAAAATTGAATTGATTCTAAAATTTTTAAGTTCTTTGGAAACTAAGAAAAGGTGCTTTCATTTGGTTTAATTTTGACTCACTCCTCCCTCACCCACCACCACCCACTGCTCGTGGTTGGCCAGCTGATTTCCGGCGTGCTCTGGCCAACCACCTGTGACTCTCCAGTGACTGGCTGATCATCGTTGTGGCCTCCAGCGATGCTTTGGCCAACACCTCCAACAACTCATTAAACATGTTTCTCTATTTTTATTTTCATTTCATTCGTTTTAAAAACATTTTTTTTTCACCAAACAAGTTTTTATTTTTTTATTTTTGTTCTTTACAAAAAAGACGAAAACCTATTTGTTGTTTGCTGTTTTTTATAAATAAAAAACTGACTACATTATCAACGGCAAGTAATTGAGGACAGGATGCTTTTAACTGTTTTGGTTAGATTATCATATTTTAGTTTGTCATAAGCTGCAACAAATGGGAAATGCCATTTAGTTGTCTTAGGCCTTTATCCAAGTAGCCCCAAATAGCTATATTCCGTAGTAAGAGCCGGTGATTTGTCCATAATTAACATGCAGTGCTCAAATACTTGTACATCACCATATTGAAATTATATTTTTGTCCGGTCAAACAAATCTTAGCACTCTGATAACTTTTATATCTTGTGTCAGTTCCATGATTGTGGTCTTGCTCATGTCTAAGATGACTTCAATGATATGGATCATTTTTAAGCAATATCCCTCGGGAGATTTTTACTCTGGTTGACCACCGCCAAAGAACTCCACTAGTGATTTTTTTATATTTTTTTAGGTCCATTTAGTCTAGAAGGATTCAAAAAGTAATTTTTTTTTTTTGAAAAAATCTAAAGAAAGTTAACTAAAAATAAAAAAATAAGTCAATTTTTTTAGTTTTTTTAATCTTAAGTGGAGTTCTCTCTCTCTCTCTCTCTCTTTTTAAGTTCATTTAGTGAAGAATTTTTTGAATTAATGTGTGGTGCTACATCTGTGAAAGTGGGGTTGACATTTAGCTTTGGCTTATCTTTGCAGGGATTCGCTGTTGATGCTTGCAGTTGCTCGTAGACGTCGTGCAGTTGGTGTTTGCCTTTTTTTTTTCAGTTTTAGATTATTATAGTCTTTTCCATGTCTTTTAGTTTATGTGTAAGTGGAAACTCTATGTTCCCCACCTTTATTTCTGAAGTTCTTATTTATCGTCAAAAAATATTGATTAAGGAATGTAAGTTCAAAAAATGAGGTGGTGGTTTTTTTTTCGGCCTTCGAAGGTTATGAAAGTAAATTCAAGCATGCTAGAAAGGATTGAATAATCTTTACAAATTGGATTAAGCTAAACATTTATCAAGCGATTGTATTAATGCTCTTTTTTCCTCAATGAAGAGAAATTAATTCAGTTATTAAGACAGAACCCATTTGCAAGGAGAAATGTTGAATAAAATAAGAAATGAAATATAGAGAATTGAAGAAGGAAATCAATCAAATAAATAATTCGATTACTGGTAAAGAGAAGTACATTACCTTTAATCTACTTCTACTGCTCAAAAGAAAATTACAAGTAATAAAAGACTTCGTACATGAACTAAAAAGGAAGTGTTGTAAAGGCTAAATGACTATGGGATACGACTACTCTCATGCTAAAGGGGGAAAAAAACCAGAAAGTAAGAACTAAGAGATATGAAACATGTTGGGTTTGATGATTTGTCTAGGCTTTTTCTCTTCAATTTTTCTATTATTTATAGATTTCCCAGTAACATTAAGTCCTCTATTACTGTTGAAGGGCTGCAACTATCTCCCACGTCCTCCTTGCTTGTTTAATTTTGACATGTGCCTCCCTCCTTTATTTGAATTTTAAATTGCTTGATAACCGTTGAGATACTAATCATCATTGCCACCTCATCTTCCTACCTGAATTCGAATGCTGAGTTGTTTCCTTTATACTTCTTCCATGTGTATTCAAGATGCACCCATGTATTTTGTATAATGGGTTGCCTTGTTGTGCCCTTCTTTTATTGGTCGGTTTAATTTTGGTGCCAACAGATGGCAAATTTACTGTATTGTTAAGCTCTCTCTGAATTAACTTACCATGTGTTTGAATCTTGGAAGTTGTAAATGCAGAACTATAAATCCAGATGTCAATTACTACTAGCAATACTTTGTCTTACCATTTGTGGCTTGCAGATGGTTTAAGTATTCGAGATTTATCTTCGAGTAGTGGGTTCAGTATGATCTTACTGGATTTCTTATTATCAGAAAATAAGTATTCAAGATTTATCTTGGAGTGGTGGGTTCAATATAGTCTTATTTAACAGTCAAAAAATGAAGGAAAAAAAAACTTTTATTTCATTCACTTTTTTTCTTTTTCACAAATTTCTCTATAAATTCAAATTCACAATCTGACTGTTCAAGAGATTCTTAACTCTTTTTTTTTTTCAGTGTCTTCCAAGTTTGGGTTTAGGGAAAGTTCCAAGGCTGGCGCTGGATTGATATTGGTACTGATTATTTGATTGTTGATGTTATTAAGTTTGTTTCTTTCATAATTATTATAAGTTTTTTGGTAAAGTCATATTTATTATGATTGAGTTCATGGGTTGGTGTTATTGATCTTTGCCAGCGATTAACTTTTCCTCTTATGCTTTTTCACTTTACCCTGTCGTACATGTCTCTGCACATGACTCTTGTCATTTGATGTTAATTACCAAACTTAATTCTTGTGTTTTGTGAATTAAAACATATATTCACATTTTTCATCCAAATTAATGGGATACTTCAAATGGCAGCGGTTTTGTGCGCATGAACTATAAAATGAAGGGTTTAGATCAGAGAGGAAGAACGTAAGTGCATTTATGTCAATTTACAAAGTGCTGTTAACATAAGTTAGTGGTGCATTTTAATCCATAAATGATAGGGGTTAAGTGGTTATTTTCAAATGATTGATTGTTATGTGCCTATGGCCTATACTGTAGGAGTAAAGTGAAATTTGTCCCTCTTTCTATTTGTTAAGTTGGTCTACAAAGCATTATTTTATGCGGAGGTGATAATTGTTGAGGTACTGTAGTAGTCTTGGTTAATCGCATTCTTGACTTTTTTTGTAAATAATCTAAGATGCTAGATCAAGGAATAGATTCTGGTTCTTGCCGAATGAAAATTTCTAACTAATGGATGTTGCATAATATATTGGCATTTATTTGTTTCTAGAATGATTTAGATGTTTCGGGAGTAATTTGGGGAGGAGTCCGTAATGAAATTCACAGTTCAAAAAATAAATAAATAAATAAATAAGAGAGATTTTAAACAGATATGGTTAGCTAATCATTAGTGAACTACTATTAATGCTCCAAAATCTTTCTTATCATTTGTAACCCGTCATGGTATGATTATAGTCAATACCCTCACGACTGGTACAATAACTATATTTGTGTTCCATTAGTGTTTAAGCATACATGACTCCTTTTTATGTCATTTTAGTTTTCTTGACTGATGCTTGTTACGCAATACGCCATTTAATACAAAACTCCTTTTTTCTTTGTTTATTTGTTTTTAAAATTTTCATCTCTTGATTTGTAGTTTTCTTGACTAATGCTTGTTATGCAATATGTCATTTAATACAAAACTTATGTTTTCTTTGTTTATTTGTTTTTAAAATTTTTCATCTCTTGATCCAACTCATCTGCTGTCCCGTATGCTGGAACTGTAGTCATGCATAAGGCCTTAATTTTTTACTAGTTGAATACAATACTTGATTTGCTTGCCAGTGGGAGCATAAGCTTCAGACATCTCACTTTCCAGAGATGGTTTTTGGGGACAGTTTTTTGGTTCTTGAGCATGTCAACAGTGGCATTAAGATTCAATTTGATACATTTGAATCATTTGATGCTCCAACTGCCTGGAACCAGGAAGCATTACCGCCAGTCGAATTTCCTGCAGATGCAAAATCGAAATTCAGAAGGTACGCTTGGAACTGTCTGTTCTTTCTTGTTTTGTTAGCACCATATCAAGAAGTTAATCATAAGTACCGTGTACCCACTATCCGCCACGCCCGTACTCCCTACGACTAAGCTTGTGTTGCTCCGAATGGCATCGTACTACTTGAAAGCACAACTAAGGTGAGCTGACTGGCGGGTGTTGTGCCAGTAAACCGCTCCGATGGTCAAGTTAGCACCCAAAGAAGATCAAGTTAGCACCCTCTCCTATATAATGAGTCACTCACCATTTGTAATATATCACAATATATCAATATATCAATCAATAATACATCATTATTAATATGGTATCAGAGCAGGTTTAGAACCTAATATTTTCGCTTCCCCGGCGGGCGGCAAACTCACCTTAGCTGCCCGCCGGACCTCAATCTAGTCCGCTTATTTTCTACACATACCTTCACGCAATACGTCATTTAATACAAAACTCCTTTTTTCTTTGTTTATTTGTTTTTAAAATTTTCATCTCTTGATTTGTAGTTTTCTTGACTATGCAATATGTCATTTAATACAAAACTTATGTTTTCTTTGTTTATTTGTTTTTAAAATTTTTCATCTCTTGATCCAACTCATGTGCTGTTCCGTATGCTGGAACTGTAGTCATGCATAAGGCCTTAATTTTTTACTAGTTGAATACAATACTTGATTTGCTTGCCAGTGGGAGCATAAGCTTCAGACATCTCACTTTCCAGAGATGGTTTTTGGGGACAGTTTTTTGGTTCTTGAACATGTCAACAGTGGCATTAAGATTCAATTTGATACATTTGAATCATTTGATGCTCCAACTGCCTGGAACCAGGAAGCATTACCGCCAGTCGAATTTCCTGCAGATGCAAAATCGAAATTCAGAAGGTACGCTTGGAACTGTCTGTTCTTTCTTGTTTTGTTAGCACCATATCAAGAAGTTAATCATAAGTACCGTGTACCCACTATCCGCCACGCCCGTACTCCCTACGACTAAGCTTGTGTTGCTCCGAATGGCATCGTACTACTTGAAAGCACAACTAAGGTGAGCTGACTGGCGGGTGTTGTGCCAGTAAACCCCTCCAACGGTCAAGTTAGCACCCAAAGAAGATCAAAGGAATGTAGAGAGAGTGAGAGTGAGAAATTGCAGACCTCTTCCTCAGTGGAGTCATGCGCCTTATATAGGCCTTTCCCTTGTTGTCTAAGATTGTGCACACACTACTTCCTTCATCCTTTGCTGGATGCGTGGATGTACTGCCTTCTTCTTTCCTTACATGTGTGTGCGTCAATACTGCCAAACAGCATTGGCAAAACTGCCAAATGGTATTGACACGTACTTTGAGCGGGTTCTTTCCCTCGTGCTTCTATTGGGCCACGTGGCATACGGTAACTAAGCTATTTTTGATGGGGCTAACTCCAACCGGTCTAACCCAGACCATTCTTCATGGCTAAGCTAACTTTGGCTGGTTTGCTCTCGGAGGGCTTCACTAGCCCGGTTCGCTATGTTCAATTCGGTTGAGCTCCTTTTGCTCGTTGCTCGGACAAACTCCGTGCAACTCCTTAACTTGACTGAAACTCATAGCTCGGTCAAGAGTCGTGTCCCCATTCCGCCTTAGCCCGGCCCATATCTGAGGCCCGGGCTTAGCTCGGCTGGAATCCCTTGCCCGGTATATCTCTAATCGCGGGCTCAGTCTGGCCTACGATCCAAGCTCATCATCCGGCTTGGCCCAACATCCGAGATTCATGTTAGCCCGGTTTAACGGTCACAAACGAAGGTCCATACAAGGTTTAGATCGGCCTATTTGTTCGGCACAAATACCCCTCTCATACCGCATGGATTTTGGAATTGTATTGAATAATATTGAATCCAACTCCTGAGGCAGAGAATTAGGTCCAGAAACTTTAGTTCCTTTGGAAACTAATTCATTCATTCAGAACTTCCATGTGGGATGCAATTTAATTGCCAAGTTAAAAGAGAATTATGTCAGGAAGAAGAAAAGCATTGCAAAGTTATGTCAATAGTGGACCCTTTTTGTTCCTCTTTAAGGATACTTGGTAATGAAGCTTCAAGCATAAGAGGGAAAGATTTCAATGGTAAAGAAGAACTACTCTTGGCATTAAGTTCATTACTGTTGGTACCTAACCTTGGTAGGCTGCCTATGTGAGATAGGCATCCTTTTTAACATGCCACAAGCCAAAGAAGGCCAGCTAATATTGATTTGACTTTATTCTTGCCCATGTATAAGGTTGCTTATGTGAAAGTCACTTCCCTATATCGACATATGAAGGATCCAACTGCAATGTATATCAGCTTCACAATTGGTGGTTGTTTTGTTATATCCCATGTGAACATTAGTAATTTGTAAGCATTTAGGACATGGACTCTGTAGAAAGAAGGAACATGTAATTTTAGATAGCTGCTTAATGGTCATCCTATGGATGTTCTGCAAGGAGAGATGTGAGAATCAATAATACATCATTTTTAACAGTGGTTGTTTTGTTATATCCCATGTGAACATTAGTAATTTGTAAGCATTTAGGACATGGACTCTGTAGAAAGAAGGAACATGTAATTTTAGGTAGCTGCTTAATGGTCATCCTATGGATGTTCTGCAAGGAGAGATGTGAGAAGGTTTTGAACATAAAGTACTTCGTCAATGCCCTCTTTGATTAGTTATCTGCCAGTTTCTTTGTTCCCTGTTGATTCTTGAAGGAGCATAAGTGATATTTTCTCTTTCCTTTTTGTTCTTAAATTTTTGGGTAAATTACACCATTAGTCCTTGTAGTTTAAGTGAAGTGTCACTATAGTCCCCGTAGTTTCAGTTGCAACAATTTGAACATTTTCAATTTTGTTGCAATGTGGTCTCTCCATCATGAGTTGCTAATAATTTGAACGGAAAAGTATCACATGCAAAACTAGAAGGTCCAAATTGGAATTCAAAAGAAACTATAGGGACCACTGGTGTAATTTATTCAATATACCACTGGTTCCTATAATTTGTTTTGAATTCCACTTTAGTCCCTCTAGTTTTGTGCGTGATTTTTTTCCGTTGCAATTCTCATGGTAAGTGAGGGTTCATATTGAAACTATGATGACCAAAGTGAAATTTTGCTCAAATTAGAGGGACCAATGGTGTAGTTTAGCGTAAATTTTTTGTTAAGATTTCTTTAAGGTTGCTTTTCATTTTCTTTCTCAATTATGATTATTCGTTCTAGGGAAAATTAAGAAGGATACCGGCATACCACCAAAACAAGAAGCTCTAGGTGGTCAAAGCAGAAGTCTCTGTGCATGTGAGTCACCTATTAAAAATCACACTAACAGTTTTGGTGACAAAACTGAAATAAGCTGTGCCTAAGGAGGTAAAAGTTGTTCTGTTGTGAAAATGCTGAGATAAATATGAGAACTGAAATTAAAGTTCTTTTGCATACACTAAGGGTATGGATGTTTAACAGTTTCTCAAGATAAATGTTTCCATCTTTCCTTAACCTCTTTATCATTCACGGACACCCTCACTTTTCATGTAATAATTTATTTTGTTTTTCTGTCTTTTTTCCATCTTTACTATTTAATCAAATATCTCTGTTACAATTTACCATGACTCAGGTATGAGTGTTGGACTCAGATACATGTCCAAATGTTGGATTCACATATTTTCCAATTATCAAGTACGATGACTCGGCTAAAAAGTGTCCAAAAAGTGGATACAGATAAGGGGATATGGCATATAAAGCATTAAACAATTATATTTTCGAACACACGTAATTAATTAGTAGGCAATTTAATGTCATTTTCTTGAATTTTGAGACTAATAAGCTAATAATTTAATCTCATTATTCAACAATTTGAGTTTTTTCCCCCCCTCTATGTAATTATATGCATTTAGTTAATTAAGAAATTCTGTAATTAATGTCAATTGGCCAACTAAAGAAAACTTGTAATTTATATTGAAGGAAACTTGTGCTTGACATGGAACCGATTTCAAAGAAACTTCTAAGTTGTGTATTTAATGCCAAATCGGTGGCTTTTGGTAGTATTCACTAAAAGTCAACGAACCTTTTTGTACCGCCTTATGTACAATCCACACAAGAAACCCTCGTTTAAAACTCTACAATCCTTTCTTCTTCCAATACAACGATTCTCTGCAACCTTTCAAATCTCTTCGTCAAAATGAAAACCTTTCAAATCTCACCTCTCACAAAGGTTCATGATCTATGCGTTCATCTACCATGAGTGCTTGATTAGAGAGACAGAGACAAAGAGAGAAGATTGAAGGCGATGGGGGCTCGATTTGGGTTGGGCAACGAGGTGTGACAAACGAAGAGCAAACAAGGTCTTAGGGCTTCGATCTATTTTGATGGTGAAAGGGTTCAATCTTGGAGGTGAACGATTTTGTAACCTGTAACCTTTCAAATCTCTCCGTAAAAAAGAAAACCTTTAAAATCTCATTTGTTATAAAGGTTTGTGATCTATGCATTTAGCTGTCATGAGTGCTTGATTAGAGAGAGAGAGAGAAGATTGAAGGTGATAAGCGCTCAATCTGGGTTGGACAACGAGGAGTGATGAACTAAGAGGAGACAAGGTCTTAGGGCTCCAATTTATTTTGATAGCGAAAGGGCTCGATCTTGGCGGTGACAACAAGAGCAAAGGCAGAGTAGGCGAAGATGATGCCAGATCTCTTTTTTGTTGAAGCTCCTCATCGCCAATAATTGTAAGTAATTTATTTTGTTTCCCCTGTGCATGCTCGTTTTGTTCATCTGGTCAACCATGTCTGAGATGAAAGTGCCTCATTTGACACAGATCTCGTACTCGCACTTGCACCCATGTCATGTCGTGTCGTGTTGAAATGGGTACTTTCCCGTAAAGTGCCAAGTCCATGTAGCACAGTCTAATTTGACCATGGTTATCAAAATATTGATCTGGATCGTAGGATCTTACGATTCTACGACCCCAATTGGGCTGAACGATTCATATCACACTAGGATCTTAAAATTTGTAAGATCTTAAAGTGATTACGATACTAGTTATAAAATCATGTAGAATTGCACTACGATCCTGATCCTATCAAATTTTTTTCTTATTATTTATTCTTTAAATATTTATATGTATATATGTGTATCTATATTAAAAAATTTAACTATCGAACCCTAATGCAAAATGTAGAAATTTAATGTATAAAGAGAAATAGAGAATTGTATTGTTGATTGATATAATGTTATTGATTGATGTATTACAAGATTGTTGTCTTTACAATTCCTATACAATCTATATATAGAAGAAAATGTGGTAGTAGGTGTAGTGGAGGTGATAGTGGGTTAGGTGAAGTGGAGTGTGTGGTGAAGTGGAGGAAGGTGAAGTGGAATGTGTAGTGGAGTAGGTGAAGGTAGTGGAGTGTGTGGTGAAGTGGAGGTAAGTGAAGTGGAATGTGTAGTGGAGTAGGTGAAGGTAAAGATGGGAAATTCTAACAGCACAAAATCTAAAGTGCTCCATTCTTGTTTCAGTCACCCAAATTCAGCCTTTTGTACCGTTGCATATCTTTGTCTATATGCCCGTTGGAATCTCCATCTATAATTATCTTCTCTCTTCCAGGTATGTGTTGCATTAACTCAAACATTTGATCCAAAAATTGTCCTTTTTCACAAATTCATCTAATCCTAGTTGTGAGTGTATTTTTTTTTGTTAATTATTTATATTGTTTGGATCTGAATTCTGAATGTGGTTGTGTTTTGGATTGATACAACAATTACATTGTTGTTTATTAAAAAAACTAAGCCTTTACTGAAACTACCTTATTTTTGTCTACTCTATTTGCACAATCTTTTTAGTTGATAGTTGTTTACTCTGAAGAAGTGTACTGAAAGAAAGGAAATGAATTAGTTATTAATAGAAGTTTCATTTATTCAATGACTAGAATTAGACAGGGATATATTTTATAGGAATTTGTTTGATGTTTTTAATGACTGATAGCTTTCTTAAATTCAGAAGCATCAATGTTAAAATGTGTTTGGCTTTGAAAAGTTTTGATACATTGGTATGGTTGATGTGATGTTTAGATCTCCACCTCTAAACACTACATTCATTGGTCTGGTTAATGTGACATTTAGATCTCCGCCACTAAGAACATGAAATTTCGTAAATTTCCCTCAAAGTCAATAAGACACAAGGAAGCATAAACAAAACTAAATTAGCAGAATGTTTACCTTGATAAACATTAAATGAGGCTTGATTCAATCAGAAGCTTCATCAACTAGGCTACAAATGGGCCTAATTTTCTGGAGTCATCTGATCCGGTTCTTATTTTTCTTGAGTCATCAGATCCTACTCTCTCTCTCTCTCTCTCTCTCTGAGCCTGTTCATTGTTGGCCAAGGTTAATTATATATTTTTTGTACTATTTTGATGTTGAGTGCAGATCTATGGAATGCATTACAAGTTCACAACTTCGTCAGAACTAGTTCTGTCAGAGCTTTTACAGTTAATTTTTGGGTGAAACTGTTCAAAAGGTTTGATATTGACTGGTGTCTTTCAATTCATTGTGGTAAACTGAATGGTATAGGATTGGAAAATGTTTGTCACTATAAGCATTTTGTCTTAATGTCTGACGGTGTGAACATGGATGCATCTTCAGCACAAGAAAACAGTGAAACTAGACAAAGCTCAAGCCCTAGACAAACAACATCAATACAAGAACTTGAATTTTGCTCCAAAACTTTGTTTGGTGAAGCAACAGAAGAACATCCAATTGGCACTGAAAATGTAAACAAGGGATCGACAAAAGCCAGGGCTGCAGAATGTGAATATATTGGTATTGAACAATTTGAACCACTTAATGAAGATCTGACACTATATTTGAGTTGTGAACAACTTGGACAACAACTTGAAGATGCCAGCATTTATTCTAATTCTAATCAGTTAGGTTTATTACCTGAAGATGCAGCTGGAAAAAATTTAAGTACTAAGCAAACTATGCCGGAACTCAATCATGAACTCGTTCCTGGAAGTGTAAATAAGGACATTTGGGTAGAAAAATGGAAAACTGGCACTGTAAACTTTCAAAATGTACCAGCTGAAATTGTGACGGTAGAATCCTATACTTTCGGTTTTGAACAACCTGGCCAACCTTCTGAAGAACTGACCAGAAATTCCAGTTGGGAACAATTGCAACCACCCCAAGAAGATGAGAGAAAAAATTATCTGGAACAATTGGGAGTGCCACCAGAAGATAAAGTCGTGAATACTAGTCTTGAACAATTAGAAATGCCACCAGACGATGCAACGAACAATCCTAGTAAATCAGGAAAGAGAACCTCTGGAAAATCAACAAAAGAGAAGCATGCACTGAGATCTTCTGTAGGCAGTACTAGAGTTTTGCGTTCAAGGTTGCAAGCGAAATCTAAAGCTCCGGAGGCAAGTAATAATATGGAAGAGAAGAAGAAACAGATGAAGAAAATTACACTTGATGAATTCTCAAGACTTAGAAATCGTTTGAGATACTTGCTGGATCGAATAGGCTACCAGCAAACCTTGATTGATGCCTATTCTGGTAAAGATTGGAGAGGACAAAGGTTTGTAGTCTATTGCTAATTTAGACTAAAGATGTTAAGGCATTTTTTTTATTCCGGCACTGCTGCTGTCACTGTAGTGACAGATGCATATTTTTCACGAGTATGATTGAACATATTCTTTTTCATGCTGATAATTTCTTTGATTGGATTCTGCAAAATGGAACCTAAACTTGAAAATAATATGAACTTTTATTTACTTCTATTATATGTGTGTGTATATATATATGAACTTTTTGAGAAATGGATGACTCTGACTATTTTTGTAAATTTTGCGTTTTCAATTACACAAAAAGGAAGTTGAAAAAAATATGTATTGTATTCATTCGTTATATTGTCTACTCTTATTATGTTTCGTATTTTCTTTTTTATAGTCAGAGACTCACAGCCTTTGAGAGGATTGGAAAACTTTTGTTGGATGATTGGATTGTGGCACTAGTAGATATAAACCAAACCAAGCCTTAAGTCCCATCAAATGGGGTCGACTACATGAATCCTTCTTCTCCACGGGGCCCTATCAAAGGCTATTTTGTTAGTCAAATTAAGTAGATCCATGTCTCTATTTACCACGCTAGCCAACGTTAATCTAGGCTTACCCCGTCCCCTAACATTCTCATCTACCGTTACAGTATCGCATCTCTTCACTACTGCCTCTATTGGTTTCCATTAAATGTGACCAAACCATCTCAATCGATTCTCTCTCAACTTATCTTCTATCGGTGCTACTTCTACTCATTCCCGAATATACTCATTCCTAATTTTGTCTGGTATAGTCTTGCCACACATCCACTTGAGTATCCTCATCTCAGCCACACTCATCTTATCTACATGTTGTTTCTTGGTTTCCCAACACTCCGTCCCATACAACATTGCTGGTCTAATAGTCGTTTTATAGAACTTACCTTTTAGTCTAACGGGTATTCGTTTATTGCACAAACGCACTTCTCCATTTACACCATCCTGCCTTAATCCTATAAGCCACATCTGCATCAATCTCCCCCGCTATTGTGATAATCGACCCTAAATAATGAAAATATTCACTCTTAGGCGGTTCTTGGTTCTCAATTTTCACTTCTCCTCTACTTTCATTGTTACTGTTACTAAATTTACACTCCATGTACTTTGTCATAGTTCTGCTTATCCGGAATCCTTTAGATTCAAGAATTTTTCTCCAAATCTCCAACTTTGTATTAACTCTTTCTCTAGTCTCATCCATTAGCACAATATCGTCTGCAAAAAGCATACACCATGGCACGTCATCCTGAATATTTCTTGTCAACTCATTCATAACTAAAGTAAAACGATAAAGACTTAAGGTAGATCCTTGATGTAACCCTACAGTGATAGAGAATTCATTTGTCTCTCCAGCAGGCAATCTAATAGTGGTCACTACCCCTTCGTTTGTGTTGATTGATACATATCCCTAATCACATCAATGTAACCTTTTGTCACCCCTTTCTTCTCTAACAACCACCATATTACATCTCAGGACACTCTATTATATGCTTTCTCAAGGTCGATAAACACCATATGAATATCTCTTTTCTTTTTTTTGTACTTTTCTATTACTCTCTTTAAAAGATAAATCGCTTCCATTGTTGACCTGTCAGGCATAAACCCAAATTGACTCTCTGACACCTCTGTTATATCTCGCAATCGGCGTTCCATCACCCTCTCCCACACTTTCATTAAATGACACATTAGCTTGATTTATGGCACTAGTAGATATAATGTCAATTTTTTTTAATTGATCATTGTTAAAAGGGAGATTTAGGCCTCATTTGGGAATAGGCTAATTTAGTAACTTTTTGGCTATTTGGCTAAAATATGAACTAAAAAAAACTAGTGTGTTTGGGATATTTTTTAGCTTTTTACGAAAAGATGTACAAAAAGTAGAGAGAAAAGAGAATCTTTTACTTTTTGGTATGGGTTGTTGGCTTTTTGGTCTTTTTAGTAACTTTTTCACTTTTTGGCTTTTTGGCTAAACCGGCTAGTCCCCAAACGAGGCCTTATTTATAAATCCCATTTAGTAGACTTATAGCCCAATAAGTCTATGAAGTTTTTTAATGTTCCATCAAATCCCATATATTTAGACTTATATTCCAATAGGTTATTTTTCCCATATTAGAAGTATTATGTGGATTATTTTACCCTTATAGGCTTTTATTATAATATATATATATATATATATTATACCATATATCTAGGAGAGAGAATATCAATTATTAGATATATTTTATTTATGATATATATAAAACATTATACATAGAATATAGAAGTTAATTATTCTTAGTATTTTCTTTGTCTCAATGTGAGAGATTCACTTCATCAAAGATCTTCCTTCACCATTATTTTGCATTAAGATCCTGTCATAGAAAAACATTTGGAAGTGAATGTTAGTTGTAGACCGATAATAGAAATGATGATGGACTCGCAACAAAGATGATGGTAACCGGCGATGAACAATTATTTTTTTTGCCACTATTACACAAACCGTATTCTCTTCGTCGATTTGTGTAGCCACTAGTATTGTGTAGTTTATTCACTGGTATTATATCAGTGTTGATTACAAGGTTCTGAAAAGCGGTTGCGGTCGCCGTAACGATGGCGGTGACGCGGTTGCAGTTGCGGGGTGTAAAGGTCGTAGTGTAACGGTTGCGGTAACCGGAACCGTGAATTTTTTTATTTTTTGCACAATTTGAAAAAAACTTACCGATACGCATATTTTTTTTCCATGATCATATTTATTGGATTAAAAATAAATATTGATCAATTTTTATAAATTTTTAAGTATGATGCAATATATTTCATATTTTTAAATCACTATAAACTGAGTTTTTTACATTTTATTTTAATAATTAATGACTTTATATTATACAAAAAATCAATCACTAACTATTATACATAAGATAAATAATGACAAAAGCAAGAGAATAAATAAGAGGCTAAATATATATATATATATATATATATACATATTTTAACCAAGCCAAATAGATAATGACCACACTTATTATTATTATTATTATTATTATTTTCAAACAATATATAGATAGACACACACAAACAAAATGGTTTAGTGATAGCAGCTGAATAGAATAGTATAGGTCTTACAGTTTCAACAAATCAATAAAATGTTCTTCATCTTCCCTCTTATCTCTCTCTATCTCTTGCTCCTCCATTTTCTCTCTTTATCTTCTCTCTTCTCTCTTCTCTCTATCCCTCTTCCCCCATTTTTAGCTTTTTTTTTTGTGTGTTTTTTCGGAAGAAACAGTTTGGAACCGTTACGTAACGGTGCGTAACAGGCCGTTACGGCTGTTACAGCACCGTTACGACCGCTACGGCAGCCGCTACGGCCGACACACCTGTGAATCTCAATCACACTGCAAAAGCGGCCGTAACGGGTGGCGGTAACCGCCAAAACCGTTACGTAACGGCGTTACGTAACGGTTGCGGCCGCTTTTTAAAACCTTGGTTGTATGTTAATTGTAAATTGTGAACGTTTACATTGTATTTTGGTATGAGATTTGTTTTTTCAATAGTTGTATGTTTGTTGTCTTTGTTACTATGTTTGTTGGTTAAACAATCATTTTTGTTACCATTGAACAATCGAAATAGTCGATTTTCAATTTTGTTTTATGTTTTCACATTGTAGTGTAAATGTTCACATTGGTATAGGTTTTTTTTTTTTTTTTTTTAGGCTTGTTGTATGTTAATTGTAAACTGTGAATATTCGCATTGTATTTTTATTTGAGTGTTGCTTTTTCAAAGGTTAGTTGTATGTTTATTTTTTATTGTGAACATTCACATTTTACTTTAGTATGTGTTTTGTTTTTTCGAAAATTAGTTGTATGTTTGTTGTTTACTATGAACATTTACATTGTATTTTGATTTTCGTTTAGAATTTTTGTTGTGTTATTTTTAAAATTTTTACATTATAAGAAAGTTGAAAGTTCATAATTTAAGATTTTCTCTGTGAAATGAGAGATTTTCTCCATGAAATGAGGGATTATTATTTTTATTGTGTATTAGTTTCAAAATGGAAAAATGTGCAAAAAATTAAAAGAGTGATTTGGTCATATTACATTAAACAGAATCTAATGGAATACTCAAAAAGAAGATGGGTTAGATGAAATAAAACACTTAGAAAGCTTATTTATCAAAAAATGACTGTTAAAATCCACCTACTCTCCACCTACTTCACCCACTTAAACCTACTCCACTAAACCTAACCCACTACTTCACCCACTCTACACCTACTTCACCCACTTAAACCTACTCCACTAAGCCTAACCCACTACACCACTACCACCTCACCTACTCCACTAAACCTAACCCACTAAATCCACATACTCTCCACCTACTTCACCCACTTAAACCTATTCCACTAAACCTAACCCACTACACCACTACCACCTCCACTTCACCTACTCCTTACCTACTACACACTCACCCTCTTCTATATATAGGAATCATGAATCATTGTAATTGATATCAATATATATCAATCAATAATACAATTCTCTCTATTTCTCTATACATAATTAATTCTCTCTATTTCTCTTTATACTTTAAATTTCTACATGGTATCAGAGCAGGTTTAGAACCTAATATTTTCGCTTCACCGGCGGACGGCAACCTTACCTTAGCTGTCCGCCGGACCTCAACCAATTCCGCTAAAATTTTCTACACATACCTTCACTCCGCTGCCACAAATTTCACATCTACTCTCTCTCTCAATTTCTTTTACACTCTCCCGGAGTTGAAGCCGAACCGGGGGCCTCCTTCATTGGTACAGATAGATCAGATTCGATCTTCGCTTCACCTCTCAAGATCTGTTACGATGTACACTTCAAGGAAGAAGATACACAAAGTTCAGGATGCGGCACCCACTGAATTTGAGGAGATAGTTGCACAGACATTATTTGATTTGGAAAACTCCAACCAAGGAGACCCACGGCTCTCTCTCACTCTCGGCATCAACCTCTCTCTCTATCTCTCACAGAGCTTCATACACTTGAACCCCACCACACACACATGGATTATTATAAGCTCCCTTGGTCAAGCTTCCATCCCACTCTGTTGGGCACATGGCCACCGCTGCTGCATCTGCTTCATCATCATCCACCTCTTGAAGCAAAGCTTTTTTACCTTTGCAGCTTTTGAACATGGATTCCAAAGAGCAACAGCCAGTCTTTGTCTGGTCAAAGGACTAGCCTAAACCTCACAGCCAGTCTTTGTTCCCAACTTTTGTTTTTTTTTACTTATTTTATATATATATATATCTCTATTTCTTTTTATTCTATTATCTTATTCAAACCCATTTTCCTTTTCTTCTTTTATTTCTTTATTTTTTCTTTTCATCCATTTTACACTACCAACCACTTTACACCCACTCTCTTTCCACACTTTACACCCACTCTCTCTCCTCACTTTGCATCCACCGCCCAAACTTTTTTTTTTTCTAAAGCTTAATTGGTGCACTCCTTGTTCCCCACTTTCTTTATTTTATATATATATATATATATATATATATCTCTTTTTATTATATATTAAAAAAAAAAAAAATAAATAAATAAATAAATAAATAAAAAAAACATCATCTCTCCTCCGTTTGATTTCAAACTCCATTATTTTTATTTATTTTCTCCAAACCACTTTCCTTATTTCCCCCATCTTTCATTTTTGATTTCAAATATATTTTTATTATTTCTTTCTTTATTTTTCTTTCACCTTATTTTTAATCTTTTTCCAATTCCATTCATACCCATCTAGCTTTGCACACCAAACCATATTTTATTCATCTCAGGGATCAACCCCGATCACAATTTTACATCTCACCTACTCCACTAAACCTAACCCACTACACCACTACCATCTCACCTACTCCACTAAACCTAACCCACTACACCACTACCATCTCACCTACTCCACTAAACCTAACCCACTACACCACTACCATCTCACCTACTCCACTAAACCTAACCCACTACACCACTACCATCTCACCTACTCCACTAAACCTAACCCACTACACCACTACCATCTCACCTACTCCACTAAACCTAACCCACTACACCACTACCATCTCACCTACTCCACTAAACCTAACCCACTACACCACTACCATCTCACCTACTCCACTAAACCTAACCCACTACACCACTACCATCTCACCTACTCCACTAAACCTAACCCACTACACCACTACCATCTCACCTACTCCACTAAACCTAACCCACTACACCACTACCATCTCACCTACTCCACTAAACCTAACCCACTACACCACTACCATCTCACCTACTCCACTAAACCTAACCCACTACACCACTACCATCTCACCTACTCCACTAAACCTAACCCACTACACCACTACCATCTCACCTACTCCACTAAACCTAACCCACTACACCACTACCATCTCACCTACTCCACTAAACCTAACCCACTACACCACTACCATCTCACCTACTCCACTAAACCTAACCCACTACACCACTACCATCTCACCTACTCCACTAAACCTAACCCACTACACCACTACCATCTCACCTACTCCACTAAACCTAACCCACTACACCACTACCATCTCACCTACTCCACTAAACCTAACCCACTACACCACTACCATCTCACCTACTCCACTAAACCTAACCCACTACACCACTACCATCTCACCTACTCCACTAAACCTAACCCACTACACCACTACCATCTCACCTACTCCACTAAACCTAACCCACTACACCACTACCATCTCACCTACTCCACTAAACCTAACCCACTACACCACTACCATCTCACCTACTCCACTAAACCTAACCCACTACACCACTACCATCTCACCTACTCCACTAAACCTAACCCACTACACCACTACCATCTCACCTACTCCACTAAACCTAACCCACTACACCACTACCATCTCACCTACTCCACTAAACCTAACCCACTACACCACTACCATCTCACCTACTCCACTAAACCTAACCCACTACACCACTACCATCTCACCTACTCCACTAAACCTAACCCACTACACCACTACCATCTCACCTACTCCACTAAACCTAACCCACTACACCACTACCATCTCACCTACTCCACTAAACCTAACCCACTACACCACTACCATCTCACCTACTCCACTAAACCTAACCCACTACACCACTACCATCTCACCTACTCCACTAAACCTAATCCACTACACCACTACCACCTCACCTACTCCACTAAACCTATCACCTACTTCACCCACTTAAACCTACTCCACTAAGCCTAACCCACTACACCACTACCACCTCCACTTCACCTACTCCTTACCTACTACACACTCACCCTCTTCTATATATAGGAATCATGAATCATTGTAATAGAAATAAATATATATCAATCAATAATACAATTCTCTCTATTTCTCTATACATAATTAATTCTCTCTATTTCTCTTTATACATTAAATTTCTACAATGACCAATTGTTAAAAAAGGTTGAACGCTTACTGTGCTCTTTTCTTCCTAAGAGAGCCAGGCAATGCTCCTATTTGGTGTTGGATGAGCACCAAGAACTATTAATGAAGTTTCGAAATTTTTCTGTTGGTGTCTACATGTGTCTGACATGGAGATGACTCCTCTACATACTAATAATAAGCATGGACATTTATCCAAAAAAATAAATAATACTAAGCATGGACATAGATACAAGCACGAGACAAAGCGATAATTAGAAAATTAGGTTCTGGACTTGGCGAGGATGTCGTAAAAAATATTTACTTTTATTTATTATGCATATAAATATAAATTTAGGACACAGAGATATGAGAGGCATCAATATATGTACGCTTTCCCCCCTCGTTGTTTCCATATATTTTGTTTTGATCCCAAATTAGCTTTTTAAAATTATGAAGAGAAACCCACAAAGTTGTCTTGAGGCGTGTCCAAAAACACATGACACACATGTCCCTGAAGCGTCCCCAACATATCCTGCAAAATGATAATAATTAAAAGGGTAAATTACACTAACCTCTCCTGAGGTTTAGAGAAAATACATTGGACCCCACAAGTTTGGCATAATTATATTGGTCTCCTATAAGGTTTTAATTCACATAATATTTAGCTCCCTTTTATTTTATCAGTAATTCATTACTCATAAATAATGATGTTATCTCTTTTGCACTAAAATGTATATTTTACTTTGTTTATGCTTATTTCTATACACCATTTGCATTAGCTCCGGTCGCTTTAGCCCTACTAAAAAGGAAATCATTGTAATTATGCAAAACTTGACACATCACGTGAAATTTACTATAATTAAACAGATTGACACATCACGTGTCATGTACGACACGTGAACACACTGTGTTGGTGCCCAACATGTGTCGGACACTGACACGGAAAATGGACTCTGTGCTTCCTAGTTTACGGAAGTATTTGTGCTACTTAGCTCTAGTTTTACTCAGTAATGTCTTGTGGTCTTCCATGGACCTCCTAATCTTAACAATCAAGATGGTCAAGTCCAATATGATTGGTGTATCATAAATTGAAAAGAACCTTTTTATATTAACCCATTTTTATTCATGTCATAGCTTGTGGCTTATTAGTGCTTCAATCTATTCACAAGTTCCTTCCTAATTTTTGTCGCATTCTATTTTGGTAATTTTGCAGCCTAGAAACAAAGCCTGTGGAGCATCAGGATGCCCAATTTGAAATTCTCCACTGCAAATTAAAAATAAGACATCTATTTCAACATCTTGATTTGTTAACTGCTAGAGGAAAGTTTCCAGCATCCTTGTTTGATTCTGAAGGACAGATTGACAGCGACGACGTAGGAGATGCCTTCTCATAACAAGCCATTTTTATGTTTGCATGGCACTCGTACTGCTAATTTGGTGTTATTTTTGTTTCTGATGGTGTTTTTAGTACTTTGGAGTGGCAAATACTTATTCCTTTATCTTCTTGTGCCAGATATTCTGTGCAAAATGTGGGTGTAAAGATTCGCCAGCTGATAATGATATCATACTCTGTGACGGTGATTGTGAACATGGTCCTCTCCAGTTTTGTCTGGAACCACCATTGTTAAAAGAAGACGGTATGTCCAAACTACTCACTTGATAGGACTAACCTTGATTTTTTCTTGACTTCCTTATTTTCTGTTCAGGTTTCTGTCCGTCTTCTTTTTTTTTTTTCTTTTTTCTTTTTTTTCTGTCCTAATTATATCCCCTCCACATTATAGTTCCTCCTGGTGATGAGGGTTGGCTTTGCCCTGGATGTGATTGTAAGGTCAACTGCATCAAATTGCTTAATGATTCTCAAGGAACTAATTTTTCTATTCTGGACACCTGGGAGGTCAATTAAAAACTCTGGTCTGTACTATTGTCCAAGATTAATTGATCTACTTAAATGTTGCTTATTATGCTCTTCTCCATGCGCAGACGGTGTTCCCTTTGGAAGCAAGTATAAATAAGGATTTTGGACTTGGATTTTCATCAGATGATTCTGAGGAAAATGATTATGACCCAGATCCTTCAGAGGTGGATGAGAAAGTTGAGGGAGATGAATCAAGTTCTGACGATTCTGATTTCTATTCTGCTTCCAAAGACTTTGAGGATTCTTCTGATGATTCAGAGGATGATGATTATGATCCTACTGCTCCAGATCTCGATGAGCAGGTTAAGCATGAAACTTCACATTTTTATTTTACATCTGACTCTGAGGATTTTAGATGAACTCATTTCTGCATTATCAGACCATACCGAGCCCTTTGCAGGCTCTGATGGAGAAAGATCTAAAGTTCTGCAGAGGAAAAAACAAGCTTTAAATGCAGAGCTGTTATCTCCAATAGTCTTGTCCTAACCAAGGGGATTCTGCACACAGTTGAATTTTGTAATAAGGCAATAAGGTTGAATATGGAGAGATAAAAGTGTCAGAAAAGATAAAAGAAAGAAAGAGCTCAAAGAGTTGATGTGGTTCGGCCAATATTGGCCTGCATCCACACACACAAAGTCCTATGGGATACATCTTTCATTCACTCACTTGATCATCTTAATTACATGGTACGCCATACAATCGAATCCCTTCAGTGAAGGGATTGAGATAAATCAAAGATAGAAAAAATCATGATAAGCACAAATCATGAGATCTCCATTTCTTCTGATATCTTTAACAATATAGTCTTTTCTTCAACATGCACCTGTATCTGGAAAAGGACATGTAGAAAGGGTGGATTACGAAAAGTTATATGATGTGAGTTCCCTTCGTAACATTAGTCACAAATCATGATCTCCCCTCCCATCATTTTTACCTGCTGCGCTTTGAATTGATGGGAATCACGCACAATGCTAAGTATATTGAATTAGTCTAGATTTATTGATTTATTCTTATTTAATTGGTTTGTGTTTCTGCATTTGGTTTTTCACCTGGCTGTTAATGCACATACTTGTATTTCCATCATTGCTTGCCATGGTAAAAACTGGGGCTGTCAAGCATGAGAGCATTGGTTTAAAGACCAAGCACAGCCACTTTGTTCAAAAAGGGTTAGGTTTGTGCACATTGCATTAGTGAGACGAACACTAGTTATTATAATGGCCTTTCATCAATTCAAGCTGAAATCTAGGGCCATTGAGACATGATAGTTTGTGTAATGGCTTCACATGGTCTTTTTCTTATTGCTGAATGATGTATACTCCAACCAACCTATCCTTATTAAATAAATCAACAACTGGCAGCATTGCAGTTCTGTACTTCTTTCAACAATTGAGGGTTCCACAGTCGTGTGGGGAAGGGAAAGGGAAGGAGGGTAACTGTGAAGCTCATGTTTTCGTAGTAGTCTTTATGTTGGCTTCATATAGTTTGTTCTTAGTGCCTAATGATTAACATTACGGTTTTGGAATTCTAAGCAGCCTGCAGGGACTAATATGTCTCTCTGTTATTTAATATCTGCTTTTCAGTGTTCTTCCTTAGCGCATAGGCCTCATGGCACTTGCATTAGGACTGCTTAGGATGCTTTGGGTCATTACTCATTACTACTGTAAATATTTGATGAATTTTTTTGAATGTCTATACATAATCGTCTCAGTTCCTAGTCTCTCTACATTGTCCTATTCTTTGTTGATGGGTGTTTGTTTATGCTTATGCTATCTTATGACAGCTGTATAACCGGGTATTGATCCTCTCTCCATGTTCCCTTATGGTATCCTCAAATTTTTTTTTTCCGTCTTCTAGTACACTTGCATCTCTACTCTATTATATTATCTTTCTGTGCTATTCTTTGTTGATCGTTGTTATGCTATCATATGATAGCTGTAAAACTGGGCATTTACCCTCTCTCCATGTTCCCTTGTAGTATCCTCATTTTTTTTTTTTGGCCGTTTTCTTGTACGCTTGCATTTCTACTCTATTATATTTTCTTTCCTCTCTTACCTCATATGTTCTTATCTTTGTTTATACTACCTTGATATGTAAAGGAGGCATACGGAAATATTTCATGTGATTCAAGTGATGGGCTGGATGCTGATGGCATACCAAAGAAGCGAAGGAAGAACAATACCGACAAAGTTGCTTCTGCATCACCCAGTGGAAGGACTCCAATTGTAGAGGGGACAAATGCTAAGGATATGCAGCACAGCCAGGGAGAGAGTGAACATACCCCTAAGAAAAGAGCGCATGAGGGGCTAGATGTTGAGGGCACAAATAATTCACCGGCGAAATTTTATGAACGTGGTTCTAATGGTACTAGCACTAAAAGATTTGGAGAAGCTGTAACTCAGGTATCACGTGCCTATGAATTAATTTTTACTACTGAATTTAGATGGTAGTCTGTATATGGAATCAACATTTTTCCATCCACTCAACTTCAAACTGGGTTATTTTACAATTGCTATTTCAATTTCCACAAATAGTGTTTGCATTGTTGTCAAATCGTGAATTGTTTTGCTAAAATAGTGAATTGTGAATTATAAGATTCACTTTATGTAGCATAATAAATGATTTTGTATATGTACAGTGTTCAAAATGAAATAAATATGAATATAACTAAATTGTGTATATGTATATATATAAAATCACGTATATCAATATAATTAGTTAATCTCTTTGTTTATTTTGTGAAAACCTAAGAAGTATGGACACGGACTCACAACAAACCAATTTTCAAAAAATGAAAGACATGACACGTGAGGGAAAATATATAATTTTATATATTTATAAAAAACGCAATATGATACTAATTTATATAAATATAAGGGATGATAGCTCATCATACCCTAAGCTGTTACTCAAGCTTCAAATATATCATTCAAAGATAATAAAAAAAAATTATTTTGTTTATCATATCATTCAAAGATAATAAAAAAAATATATATATATATATATGAATATATCATTCAAAAATAATAAAAAACGCAATATAATACTAATTTTTATAAATGTATTTTGTTTTTCTTTTATTATTATTATGTCTTAAGTTGTTTTGTTCAAAATTATAATTAGTTTCATGCATGTCTAATCGATAGACATGTGTGTTTAATCGATAGACACATGTGTCCTCCAAGTGTTTTAAGAGTGTTCTGGTTTGGGTCTTTAAAAAAAAATTAAACATAGGACACGTTTTGACAAGTGTCAGACACGTGTTGGGAAGAGACCAAGTGTCAATTGAAAAGCTCAACCCACACTTCTCCTTAAAACCTAGGTGTTAAGGAGGGGGAAACTGAAACCTTATAATTAGCACAGATGAGGCAATTCCAGGATGTAGGACACATTCCAACAGTGTCGGTGTTCGTCGTCACCTTCTTAGAAGTGTCCATACTTATTAGGTGAAAACAATGCCGTTTTATGCATTATGCAAGCAGAATTGAATCTTAATGAGTCGGAGTAAATCGTGATTGAATCATAAGATTCACTCAATTCAAGATTCAATTGCATGAATCAAATCTTTTTGCTTGAAACTCGTATCAAATCGTAGGAATTTGTGGTGAAGTGGTTTGAAAATACTTTTGGATCCAGTTAGACGCTCTTGATCCTCTGATTGCTACCTAAAAAAAGGATGAATACTCCGGTCGGAGGTGCCGGAATTAGCACTCCGACGGGTAAGTCAGTATTCTCTTAAATGTACTTCTATCTTAAATTATCTTGTTTATTTTCACATCCATCTCTTTGGCTGACATTCCTCCTTTTTTATATTACGTCTGGGCCTAAGGGTCGGGCCCACTCTTGCATATAATTATTCAGTCGGCCTTTCAGTTGAGTATTGGCGACCAATTCATATACTCGGCTTCATGGGCACCTGGTGATGTCTCAACCGGATGGCTTGGCCTTTCGTTCTCATTGATTCAATTCGGCCTCCACAATTGCCTCCTGAACATCCGACTAATACCAATTAGTCAGCATGTTTGGTTTTGCATATCAAAAGTCAAAAATACAACGCTCACACTTCCTCCAATATTGAAGCGTCAGAATGAACATGATTTAGAAATCATTATAATTTCCTGCCCTTTCGTGCGCATTGCTCATTTAATGCGATATGGAACCGTGTTGTCCCTTCGAATATTTTTAAATGTGCAAGGCTTTCTGGTTGTCTCACAGTATCATTCCTTTTCTACGACCTCTGCGATTTCTGCCTGTTTCCCACTGTCTTCTCTTTGATCTATAAGTTCTTCTCCTCTTTGTATTTCTTCCTCATTCCAGCTCCCATTTTCTTGTTCGTTTTTAGTTAGCATATTTTCTATTCCGATTTGAATGGCGAAACATTTGAAAGCTCTCCTTTCTGCGGACCATGTTTTCGCTTTTTGTCACCATTTCTCAATTCCAGATGACGTCCATCTGTCACCCGTGGTGAACAGCGTAGTTGACATGGAGAGGACTGATGCGAGTACGATCATCTTTCCCCTCCTGTCAATCGCTGAGGTGCGGAGTTCGTTTTCCCCTTCATCCATTTTTGAGGGCCGTTCTTCGTTATTGGGTTCTACTCCCTTCACAGCCAAATGTAAATTTTTACCAAATTATAATGGGCATAATAGAATTAAATCGCTGACTTAGCATTAACCTACGAATCCCTGCTATTCGACATTGTTATGCCTTGGAGAAATCTTCTGGTCGGCAGGGACGCTACTTTCTTAAGGCCAAGGACACAGATCACCATTTAGTGACTATGCTTGCCAGCTTTAGTAAGCGTGTTGACGACGTCATGGTCGTTGTCCAAGGCAACTGGGAATTCGGCGAAGGCATCTCTAATGGAGTCTAGTCCCAGCCAAGGGGATTCTGCACCTGTAACTGGAAAAAGACATGTAGAAAGGTTGGACTACGAAAAGCTATATGATGTGAGTTCCCTTCGTAACATTAGTCTCAAATCATGATCTCCCCTGCATCATGTTTACCTGCTGCATTTTGAATTGATGGAATCATGCATGATACTATGTATATTGAATTAGTTTACTTTAAAATGTAGGCTTAATTAATTTATTCTTTTTAATTGGTTTATGTTCCTGCATGTGGTATTTTACCTAGCTGTCATTAGCATGTTATACACTGAGATTTTCGAACATGTTAACCATTGCGACATGATAAACTGTGTAACGGCTTCACGTGGGGTTTTTTTTTTTTTTTGGTTGAATGATGTTGTCAGTCAAACCAACTTATCCCTATTCAATAAATCAACTACTGGAAACACTGCAGTGTTGTACTATTATTATTATTTTTTTTTGGTATGTAAGTCACAAGTTATATACCAAAAAATAGATATTACAATGAGGCTCAATACACGCCCAGAGGCAACACACCCTTCGAGGAGGGAATAAACAAGCCTAGCTTCTACACAAAATCTAACAAGTAGATTAACATTCAAGGAGAAATCAAAGCTAGGCTAAGCAATAATCAACGGACACACCTACGATTTCATAGAGTCTTACAACTTGATTTTTTAGACTTGATAGAGAGGCTAACCTCTTGAGCAAGTTTAAGATTGGCGATTCTCTCAAGAAGCTTTTTCTTGTTTTCCACTTTTGAAGATAGGTTTGTCCAGGGAACGACGAATGTTCCATCTAAAAGGGATCGAGGAGCTCCTTTGGGACGTGAAGATCGTTTAGAGGCTAACCCATTTATATTACCCACATCCCCGACAATTTCTTTCTCTTCCTTTGAAGCCTCTACATTTGGAATATCTTCATTCGCATTAAGCACACTCTTAAGATCCGCACAAAAAGAAACCTCCTCATTGGCTACACAAGTATTGAGAATATCAAACGCATTCGATGAAGATGGAGTGTAGGAACAAAGTTAACAATTACATTTCATCTGTACTTGCTTTCAGCAATTGAGGGTTCCTCAGTGGTGGGGGGGACGGGAAGGGGAAGGAGGGTAAGTGTGAAGCTCATGTTTTCATAGTAGTCTTTATGTTGGCTTCATATAGTTCGTTCTTATTGCTTAATGATTAACATTGCAGTCGTGGAGTTCTAAGTAGCCTGCAGGGACTAATATGTCTCTCTGTTATTTAATATCTGCTTTTCAGTGTTCTTCCTTAGCGCATAGGCCTCATGGCACTTGCATTAGGACTGCTTAGGATGCTTTGGGTCATTACTCATTACTACTGTAAATATTTGATGAATTTTTTTGAATGTCTATACATAATCGTCTCAGTTCCTAGTCTCTCTACATTGTCCTATTCTTTGTTGATGGGTGTTTGTTTATGCTTATGCTATCTTATGACAGCTGTATAACCGGGTATTGATCCTCTCTCCATGTTCCCTTATGGTATCCTCAAATTTTTTTTTTCCGTCTTCTAGTACACTTGCATCTCTACTCTATTATATTATCTTTCTGTGCTATTCTTTGTTGATCGTTGTTATGCTATCATATGATAGCTGTAAAACTGGGCATTTACCCTCTCTCCATGTTCCCTTGTAGTATCCTCATTTTTTTTTTTTGGCCGTTTTCTTGTACGCTTGCATCTCTACTCTATTATATTTTCTTTCCTCTCTTACCTCATATGTTCTTATCTTTGTTTATACTGCCTTGATATGTAAAGGAGGCATACGGAAATGTTTCATGTGATTCAAGTGATGGGCTGGATGCTGATGGCATACCAAAGAAGCGAAGGAAGAACAATACCGACAAAGTTGCTTCTGCATCACCCAGTGGAAGGACTCCAATTGTAGAGGGGACAAATGCTAAGGATATGCAGCACAGCCAGGGAGAGAGTGAACATACCCCTAAGAAAAGAGCGCATGAGGGGCTAGATGTTGAGGGCACAAATAATTCACCGGCGAAATTTTATGAACGTGGTTCTAATGGTACTAGCACTAAAAGATTTGGAGAAGCTGTAACTCAGGTATCACGTGCCTATGAATTAATTTTTACTACTGAATTTAGATGGTAGTCTGTATATGGAATCAACATTTTTCCATCCACTCAACTTCAAACTGGGTTATTTTACAACTGCTATTTCAATTTCCACAAATAGTGTTTGCATTGTTGTCAAATCGTGAATTGTTTTGCTAAAATAGTGAATTGTGAATTATAAGATTCACTTTATGTAGCATAATAAATGATTTTGTATATGTACAGTGTTCAAAATGAAATAAATATGAATATAACTAAATTGTGTATATGTATATATATAAAATCACGTATATCAATATAATTAGTTAATCTCTTTGTTTATTTTGTGAAAACCTAAGAAGTATGGACACGGACTCACAACACACCAATTTTCAAAAAATGAAAGACATGACACGTGAGGGAAAATATATAATTTTATATATTTATAAAAAACGCAATATGATACTAATTTATATAAATTTATTTTGTTTAAAAAAATATATATCTATATGAATATATCATTCAAAGATAATAAAAAAAAATTATTTTGTTTATCATATCATTCAAAGATAATAAAAAAAAATATTTTGTTTATCAAATATATATATATATATATATGAATATATCATTCAAAAATAATAAAAAATGCAATATAATACTAATTTTTATAAATTTTTTTTGTTTTTCTTTTATTATTATTATATCTTAAGTTGTTTTGTTCAAAATTATAATTAGTTTCATGCATGTCTAATCGATAGACGTGTGTTTAATCGATAGACACATGTGTCCTCCAAGTGTCTTAAGAGCGTCCGGGTTTGGATCTTTAAAAAAAATTTAAAAATAGGACACATTTTGACAAGTGTCAGACACGTGTTGGGAAGAGACCAAGTGTCAACTGAAAAGCTCAACCCACACTTCTCCTTAAAACCTAGGTATTAAGGAGGGGGAAACTGAAACCTTATAATTAGCACAGATGAGGCAACTCCAGGATATAGGACACATTCCAACAGTGTTGGTGTTCGTCGTCACCTTCTTAGAAGTGTCCATACTTCTTAGGTGAAAACAATGCCGTTTTATGCATTATGCAAGCATAATTGAATCTTAATGAGTCGGAGTAAATCGTAATTGAATCGTAAGATTCACTCAATTCAAGATTCAATTGCATGAATCAAATCTTTTTGCTTGAAACTCGTATCAAATCGTAGGAATTTGTGGTGAAGTGGTTTGGAAATACTTTTGGATCCAGTTAGATGCTCTTGATCCTCTGATTGCTACCTAAAAAAAGGATGAATACTCCGGTCGGAGGTGTCGGAATTAGCACTCCGACGGGTAAGTCAGTATTCTCTTAAATGTACTTCTATCTTAAATTATCTTGTTTATTTTCACATCCATCTCTTTGGCTGACATTCCTCCTTTTTTATATTACGTCTGGGCCTAAGGGTCGGGCCCACTCTTGCATATAATTATTCAGTCGGCCTTTTAGTTGAGTATTGGCGACCAATTCATGTACTCGACTTCATGGGCACCTGGTGATGTCTCAACCGGATGGCTCGGCCTTTCTTCCTCATTGATTCAATTCGGCCTCCGCAATTGCCTCCTGAACATCCGACTAATACCAATTAGTCAGCATGTTTGGTTTTGCATATCAAAAGTCAAAAATACAACGCTCACACTTCCTCCAATATTGAAGCGTCAGAATGAACATGATTTAGAAATCATTATAATTTCCTTCTCCTTCGTGCACATTGCTCATTTAATGCGATATGGAACCGCGTTGTCCCTTCGAATATTTTTAAATGTGCAAGGCTTTCTGGTTGTCTCACAGTATCATTCCTTTTCTACGACCTCTGCGATTTCTGCCTGTTTCCCACTATCTTCTCTTTGACCTATAAGTTCTTCTCCTCTTTGTATTTCTTCCTCATTCCAGCTCCCATTTTCTTGTTTGTTTTTAGTTAGCATATTTTCTATTCCGATTTGAATGGCGAAACATTTGAAAGCTCTCCTTTCTGCGGACCATGTTTTCGCTTTTTGTCACCATTTCTCAATTCCAGATGACGTCCATCTGTCACCCGTGGTGAACAGCGTAGTTGACATGGAGAGGACTGATGCGAGTACGATCATCTTTCCCCTCCTGTCAATCGCTGAGGTGCGGAGTTCGTTTTCCCCTTCATCCATTTTTGAGGGCCGTTCTTCGTTATTGGGTTCTACTCCCTTCACAGCCAAATGTAAATTTTTACCGAATTATAATGGGCGTAATAGAATTAAATCGCTGACTTAGCATTAACCTAGGAATCCCTGCTATTCGACATTGTTATGCCTTGGAGAAATCTTCTGGTCGGCAGGGACGCTACTTTCTTAAGGCCAAGGACACAGATCACCATTTAGTGACTATGCTTGCCAGCTTTAGTAAGCGTGTTGACGACGTCATGGTCGTTGTCCAAGGCAACTGGGAATTCGGCGAAAGCAAAGATCGCCTAGACCCTGTGCCTAAACAAAAAGGTGAACCATGTGGCCGTACAGACCCATTTCTCTTTCGTTTGCGTATTTTTGTATGTTTATTCGGCTTCGATTCCATGTACTTATCGTTTCGTTTGTGCAAGTAACAATCTGAAGAAAGCACTCACTACGGCCGACGACACTGTGCTTGAGCAAGTCAAAACCGCACTTAAATTCTTCGGTTGTCCAAACCTTCAAAAGCAAAGGCGGCGTCCACGTGCTACTGCGATACAACCCAACATATTCGACTTTTTCAGCTGCTGATCATATCCCAATTCCAAGGGGTGAACAGCATCTTACGACACTCATCTTCCCAAACTTCAAGAGTCTTAGGGACATCGGCGTTGAGGGTTCAGATTCAGTCCCAAGCGGTGAAGTCGGCAATCAGGTCACTAAGCAGTTGAGCTAGTCGAACTCAGATGGGTCTAAGGGTCGCTTAGGGAAGGAAGTTGACGCAGCTCTTAATTTGGCCTTTGAAGAAGTTGGCTTTATCCTCCCATCCACTTCAGGTCGAATTGAAACATCCTCTTTAGAAGACGACATTTTCACAATCTGGGAGACTTACCCGGCACAGACCCTGAGAACATGGCTGGAGAATCGCTCGTACAGATGGCTAGAAGGCAAAATGCCGAAAAGATGGCAGCCCGAAGAAGAGCTGAAACTGCTAGACCAGTACCTCCACCGTCTGTTCCTGTTGAGGAAGTGGAGCGAGAAATTGTTGTGGCCGACTCGGTCGTTGAACAACAATCGGGCGATTTAGGCGCCGAACAAAGGGGTGAGAAACGCCCCACTAAGATGGAGGCCAAGTCTTTCGAAGAGTTAACCGATAAACGGCCTCGAATAGAAGAGTCCCAAGACTTGGCGGCGCCGTTTATCATCCAACCTAGAATGAAGAGTGCGCTGATTTCTACCGATGCGTCAGCTATGAAAGATCTCGTCGTGGCCCTAAGCATGGCTTCGGCGATTTCCTTGTCGATGGACAAGGCTACATTCCATGCGGAACTGGACGTGGTTTCAATAGCATTAGCTGCGCAGTAGGCGATATTGGTATGTAATTAGCAAACTCCTACTTGCAGTTTCTTTTATATGCCGACTAACTTGCCCATGTTTTGTTTCAAGCGGTGGGTAGAATCGCAGAAATCGGCCGCTGTCATTATGACGCCGTCGAGCAAATTGGCGTACTTAAAGCCGAGATTGAAACCGAAAAGGGGAAAGCTAAAGCGGCGTTAGCCGAGTTGGCGATGGCGTCTCTTAGAGCTGAGTCTGAGGCCAAAAAGGCAGAAGAGAAGCGAGCGAGGGCCAATGCTGAAGAAGAAAAGGCCAGACAGGCCGTCTACTCTGGGTGGCCGTCGAGGAAAGGGCGAATATGAGTGATGATGCGTTCAAGTTGGCCAAAGAGGCAATCACGAAGCTAGAGACCGATTTGGAAAAATCAAAGAAGGCGAAAGAACTCGCTGACTCAGAGATTTCCAAGGCATTCGATGCCAGAGAGAACGCGGCCATAGAGAAGTACGTGTAAGAGGTATTGAAGTTTGAGAACCGAGGCTTCAAACACGGCTGTTTTAGAGCCCTGGAGGCCAAAAAGGCAGAAGAGAAGCGAGCGAGGGCCAATGATGAAGAAGAAAAGGCCAGACAGGCGGTCTACTCTGGGTGGCCGCCGAGGAAAGGGCGAATATGAGTGATGATGCGTTCAAGTTGGCCAAAGAGGCAATCACGAAGCTTGAGACCGATTTGGAAAAATCAAAGAAGGCGAAAGAACTCGCTGACTCAGAGATTTCCAAGGCATTCGATGCCAGAGAGAACGCGGCCATAGAGAAGTACGTGTAAGAGGTATTGAAGTTTGAGAACCGAGACTTCAAACACGGCTGTTTTAGAGCCCTAGCGGCCACTAATGTCACATTGGAGCAGCCGACTCCATATAAGCAACTAGAGGTTGAGCCGTTGGAGTCTGACCCTGAAGAATAAATAGTGTTAGCGTTATTTTGCTTCATGTTAGGTATTCTCTGTATGTAGTTTTTGTAGGTTTTTGCTCATTTTGTTTAGAGGTCATTCGTAGGGTAGTTTTCATGTATAAAGTGACGGTTGTTTCTATTCAATTTATTAATGAAAATCGCCTTTTTGGCTGCATTCTATATTTGCTAATTAGTGGATAAGTAGGACAATGTAGCGTAATACGGCACTAAATCTACCCTTGCCCCATTTGGACATGTCGTTCCAGGGCCGAATAAAACACATGGCCTGGCTGCATTCTATATTTGCTAATTAGTGGATAAGTAGGACAATGTAGCGTAATACGGCACTAAATCTACCCTTGCCCCATTTGGACATGTCGGTCCAGGGCCGAATAAAACATATGGCCCAATGCTAAGCACGTCTGGCCAAGTGGGGCAGTGTATCGTGATTTGGCTATAACATAAGTTGTCGAATAGATTCATATATCTGCCCTTGCCCCAGAGCCAAATAAAACATATGGCCCAATGCTAAGCACGTCTGGCAGTGGGGCAGTGTATCATGATTCGACTATAACATAAATTGCCGAATAGATTCATATATCTGCCCTTGCCCCATTTGGACATGTCGTTCCAGAGCCGACTACCGACGCGGGGTTAGCTGTGGGGCGTATCGGAAATGGTGTATCCATAATTAATGAACGAGGTACCTAGTATTTAAGAGGTTCCAGGTGTCGTGGAATAGATCTGGCATAAACGACGAAAGGGGTAGTCGATAATTTGAGAACGAGTAGAAACTTGAGTATGGACGGTGGTCGTGAGCGAGGTCACAAGTGTCTCAGAGGTTATTTTTTCAACAGTAAAGGAGAAGGGAGGAGCTTAGCGAAGCTGGACGCTGAAATGCATCTCGCTACTGGTGGCGAAGCTCAGAGAATAAGAAACGTAATAGCAGAGAGGAGAGAGACGTCGGTCGCCCAGACGTT